GGCCAGGTCAGGCCGGCAGCCAGGCCTCTGGCCTTGGCCTTGGTGGCCCGCGTCGCCACTCTCTTGCCGTCGGCCCGGGGAGGCAGCGCTTGGCGTCGCTTGGCCTGGCCAGGCCGGGCCAGGCCTGGGCCCAAGGCAGCAGGTGGAGGTCGCCCCGCCAGCTTCCGACTTCCGCAACAAACGTAGCTCAGCAGGCAGCTCTGCAGCAGGCCAGGCCAGGCCAGGCCAGGCCCACAAAACCCTCGGTTCTTGGCTCCGCCTCCCGCCTCCATCATCATCACCACCTTGGCCTGCCCTCCTCACGTCCCCCTCGTCCCGCCTAGACGCCTTTGTGCAACGACTTCGGCAACCATGCTGCGCTCGTCCCTCAACGACGCAGCAGCAGTCGCCTCCGCAGTCTGCCAGATCACAAAGCGCATCGTCGTCGCCGCTCCCGCCTCGGCAACCCGTCCTCTGCACCCACAACCATCTACACCATGGCCTACCCAGGTGCACCAAAACGCCGCCGCCACACCTGCCCAGACTTCGCCAATGCACCACCCTGCTGCCGTCGAACCGCATCATGAGTCGAGTCCAGCATCGCACGACGCTGCGGCTTCGTCTTTGGCCTCGACTTCGGCCACGGCCGCTCCGGTCCCACAACCGGGTGCTGCCAGCCCGACGACCCCACCACCACCCCGCCCAAAGCCTCGTCCGTGGTCCACGCACATCAGAGCTGCCCAGATCTCCCAGACTGCTTCGCCTCAAGACACGCTCACGACTCCCTCGGAACCCCCCGCACAGCCAGCCCAACCCTCATCCACGTCCACCTCTTCCACCCAGGACCACTCGACGCTCAACCCACCTGCCGCTCCACCGCACTACGACGACCGGACGCCAACGATAGACGACAGAGTATCGCTGCCTCCTCGCGCACCCGACGGCACGCACACCGAGATGAAGGTCGTACACAGCGGCAGCAGCCGCCACAGCGCCGTCACCCGTGACCCGAGCGTCGACGCCGACGCCGCGGCCAGGTTGGCCCTGATGCGCGGGCTCGACGATAGCCTGCATACCTACTATGGCGAGCCCGAGCCAGCCCACACCGCTGCAGCGGCGTCGTCTGTATCCGCCGTCGAGGCGAACACTGCGGCACATCCGACAGCGGGACCAGTCGCACCAACGTCGAGCCCGCCAAGTCCTCCGACCGACACGTCGGATCCAGTGGAACCTGTCGTACAAGTCGCCCCGCAGCCATTACGGACGGCAGCGCCGTCTAATGGGACGCCCGAGGCCGTCCCCGATGTAGGCGTCGACGCCACGGCACCGCCAGCCGACGTCATCGGCGCGGAACAGGAAGAGTACGATGCGGCCACCGAGGTGCGCGAGACACCGCTGCGCGCCGCAAAGGTGCCCTCGTCGCGCCTGGGCCGCCTCTTCCACTACGGCAGCCTGGGGGCCGGTCTCGCGGTGGGCACCGCCGGCCAGTTCTTCCGCGGCGGCGGCGGCGACTCGTCGGGCGGCGGCGGCATGGTGCTCTCGGAGCAAAACATCTCCCGCCTCGTCGACAAGTTATCGACGATGCGCGGCGCTGCTCTCAAGCTGGGCCAGTTCCTGTCGATCCAGGACACCAACGTGCTGCCGCCGCAGATCGAAAAGGTGCTGCTGCGCGTGCAGAACGCGGCCAACTACATGCCCGTGTGGCAGATGCAAAAGGTCATGTCGGCCGAGCTCGGCTGCTCGGACTGGAAGGAGCGCTACTTTGAGAGCTTCGACGAGATCCCGTTTGCCAGCGCCTCGATCGGCCAGGTGCACTCGGCCACGCTGCGGCGTGACTTTGCCGACGACCCGAGCATGGCGGGGAGGCGGGTGGCGGTCAAGGTGCAGTTCCCCGGCGTGCTCGAGTCGATCGACTCGGACCTCTCGTACATCCGCTGGCTCGTCTCGGCCTCGGCGCTGCTGCCGCGCGGCCTCTTCCTCGACAACTCGCTCAAGGTCATGAGCCGGGAGCTGCGCGACGAGTGCGACTACGAGCGCGAGGCCGAGATGGGCCGCAAGTTCCGCGCGCTCCTCGAGGGATCCGCCGAGTTCGAGGTGCCCAAGGTGGTCGACGCGCTGTCGACGCGCAGGGTCCTCGTCACCGAGATGATGCGGGGCCGTCCGCTGACCCAGGCCTCGCGCTACACGCAGGAGAAGCGCGACCAGATTGCCAGGTCGATCCTCAACCTGTCGCTCTCGGAGCTCTTCCGCTTCCGCCTGATGCAAACCGACCCGAACTGGACCAACTTCCTCTACAACGAGCGCAACGGCAAGCTCCAGCTCATCGACTTTGGCGCCACGCGCGAGTACTCCAAGGAGTTTATGGACGACTGGCTCAAGATGCTTCAGGCCGCCATCAGGGGCAACCACGACGAGTGCGTCCAGTGGAGCCGCAAGGTCGGCTACCTAACCGGCGAGGAGAGCGAGGTGAGTCGAGCTCGGCCGCGTGAGGCTCTGTTGCGCCACCGTGGCGGCGAGGCGAGGGCGACGGCGTGCTGACGTATCTGCGCGTCTTGACCTTCGCGACTGAACCCCCGGCAGCGCATGGAGAGGGCCCACGTCGACTCGATGATCGCGCTCGGCGAGCCGTTCCGCGACGGCTCGCCTGATCCGTACCCGTTCGAGTCGCAGACGATCACGGACCGCGTCAAAGCGCAGATCCCGCTGATGCTCAAGGAGCGCCTCACGCCGCCGCCCGAGGAGACGTACAGCCTCAACCGCAAGCTGAGCGGCGCCTTTCTCCTGTGCGCCCGCCTCAAGGCCCGCGTCAGCTGCCGGGGCCTCTTCAAGTCGATCGAGCAAGAGTACCAGTTCGGTCCCGTCGCTTCGCCGCCGTCTGCCGCTGTGGTGCAGGGCGTTCGCGCGGCGTCCGCGCCCTCGATGCCGGATGGCCGAAGAGAGTTCCATACGTCGAGGATCGTCCGCGAAGCGCGTCGCGTCCTCGAGCAGAGGGAGGCAGGCGGTGCCGGAGGTGCCGCCGGGTCGGGCGATACGGGCCCGGCCTCCCTCGGAGCAGAGCTCCGCAAGACGATCGGCAGTAGAGACCGACCGAGGCCAGCGAGACGTGAGCATCTGCACTCTGTGTCCGGATAGAGCGGGGCGGAGCAGATCCATGGAATGCCAGCCTTACACGCCCTTTCGACCTTGTCCTTCGGTTGTCCCGTCTTGTGTTGCCCCGCAATGACCGACAGGGCACGGCATCAACCTCAACGATCGGTTCCCTCGCTCTCGGATCGTCGCTCCGGTCGAGACGGAGGGGACGGTGACGAGTCTTTCGCCTGGATTCGCCGCGGGGTCTTTTGTCGAAACGGGCAGCGATGCGAATGCCGAAGCGGGCGGCGTGGATCTCGGGAGGAAGGTGCTCCCGGCTGAAGTGACGCCGTCCAGGGCCGAATCGCCGATGACGGCGCGGCAGGACACTGTCGAGTCCGACTCGGCCAGCCCGCCCCTTCCGCCCGTCGAGGGTGCAGACGAGGCGGAGTGCAAGCCGATGGGCCCGACGGTCATTCGTGGCATCACGATCCCACTCAAACCGCCGCCGCCTGGTCCTGATGGTAGGTCCTGCCGCCGCCGCTGCGAATACGGCGCTTCCCGCGCACAGCGGTTCGCTGAAACACGCCGCTTTTCCTCATCTTGCTTCTCATACCCGACCGCGGCCCAGAATGTTGCATGTCCGGTACGTGGCCGCTTCCTCGGTTGGACCAGTCGGCTTCTGCTTCCCCCTTCGCGTCGAGGCGTCCGGACTGACGAGCCCCACGCCATGCCACTCCACGCCACGCTACGGCGACAACCGATCGACAGGCTGCGCCCACTGCGCGTACGACATCTACGCCGAGGACCTCGAAGACTTCCACTCGCGCCTGCAAGACGTACGGGCCCGCCTCGCCGCGCTGCAGCCGCCCGTCGCGGCCGACGAGTGGCGCGAGGACCTGCTGGGCTCGTTCCCGTCGTCGGACCCTGGCGCCGAGTCCGGGACCGGTCCATCGGGCGGCGAGGATGTAAAGGCCAAGGCGGAGAGGGAGGTGGACCAGGTCATTGGCGATCTCGATCCGACCATGAAGGCGTTTTTGGAGATGGAGAGGAGGATGAAGAAAAAGGAGCGCGCCAAGGCGGCGCAGTAGTAGAGGGGTGGCGGCCGTCCTGATTGCCGTCGTGGCACGAATGCAGGTAGGCTTGGACAGCGCCCTTCTCGATCGCGGGATGGCGTTTACTGAGCATTGCGCGACGATCAACCAAGTCGCGAGTTGGACGAGCCAGGCGCAGATGGAAGGGCGGAATCTCCGGCGTGTCGAGCTTCTCAAGGCAGGGCTGGCCATCCTGCAGCGTCCATCGTTCTTTCCTGAAAGCCCGTCTGAGCGCCAAGTCATCGTCCGCAGCCGGCCAGGGGATGAAATTGGCCGCGCAGACGAGGTGTCGAGCACCGTCCACGCCGCGCTGCGTGCAAGAACGAGCCGACCCTCACGCCCGCGAGATACCGCGCCCGCAAGGTCAGCACGAAGGGGGTCACCTCACCCGAACGCCGGCCGTGTCGGACCTCGACTTTGGAGCCGAGTCGTCGAGCGGTTGAGGAGCACGAGGGCGGCAATGGAGAGCGCAACGATGACCAGGTTGACCACGGCGTGTTGTAGCGACTCGACCGGCCGCAGCTCCGCCCATGCCGGTACCTTGAAGAAGGCCATTCTTGCACGATCGAAGAGTGAGATGGTGGTGGTGGTGTGGGTGCGAAGCGAGTGCAGGACGGCCTCGCCTGAACCTCACGCGTGCCTTTCGGCTGCCGCGGGGCCCCGGCCGTGCACCAGCCCGGCTGCGGTTCTCGGGGTACAGCCAACAAGGTTCAAGGGCCGACTCCCGAACTCTAGACTCGACGCTTTTTTTTTTTTTTTTTCGCGCGAAAGAGATGGCAAGGTCGAGCCCATCTTCGATGGCTCGGCCGATCTAGCAGGATGCAGCGGAACCGACTTCAAAGCGAAGATTTTTTCGTCGCGCGCGGGGTCGGGCGGGCGACGGCGAGCGGGGACGACCAGAACCGTCGTCGGCCCACCTCCTCCTCCCGACACCACCACCCCCTCAAACCCATCCTATCCGTCAAGATGTCGAAGATTCAAGTGTCAAGTGAGTAGCTGTCGATCTCTTGTCACGGATCGCTGGCGTGCAATCCGGCCCGTCGTATTCGCCTGGCCTCGGCTGGCGCTCTGTCTCGACATCCTTGCGAGTTCATCACTCAAACCAACGCCCCCTTCCGCCCTCCCTCCTCCTTCCCCAGGCGTGCGAGCTACCATCAAGGACCTCATTCAGGCGAGCTCCGACAAGAGGAGGAACTTCTGCGAGACTGTCGAGCTGCAGATCGGTCTGAAGAACTACGATCCTGTGGGTATGCTGTTGGGATGATCTGGGCGGCTTTGCGCCTCAACTTGGCTGACCGGATGTGGCCTCTCTGGGGCTGTGCGTTTCGACAGTCGCGTGACAAGCGTTTCTCGGGCACCATCAAGCTTCCCCATGTGCCTCGTCCGCGCATGACGATGTGCATTCTGGCCGACGCTGCCGATGTCGACCGTGCCAAGCTGATTGAGCTCGAGTACATGACGGTCGAGGACCTCAAGAAGCTCAACAAGAACAAGAAGCTTGTCAAGAAGCTGGCCAAGAAGTACGACGCCTTCCTTGCTTCCGAGGCGCTGATCAAGCAGATTCCCCGTCTGCTCGGCCCCGGTCTGTCCAAGGCCGGCAAGTTCCCTACCCCGGTCTCGCACAGCGAGGACCTCGAGAAGAAGGTCAACGAGGTCAAGAGCACGATCAAGTTCCAGCTCAAGAAGGTCCTCTGCCTTGCCGTCGCCATTGGCCACGTCCAGATGACCGACGAGCAGCTGCTCGCCAACATCATGCTCGCCATCAACTTCCTCATCTCGCTGCTCAAGAAGCAGTGGCAGAACGTCAAGTCGCTCACCATCAAGTCGACCATGGGCAAGCCCTTCACCCTCTACTAAGCGGGTCGCCCTTGCCCTGGTGGACCTGCGGTGGTGGGCAGGCGCAGGCGAGCGGCGCACGCCGGCGGCGGCCCTGCAACCGGGTGTAGCCTGATGCGCGCGGTCTCTCCCGTCGGCGGTCCATCCTCGCCGCTCCTTGGCCTCTCCTGCGCCACGCTTGACCCCTCTCCACCCCTCCCTCGTGACGCCCGTGCGTCGGTCTTCGCCTATCCCCCTTGATGATCCTTGTCCGGACACCCAAAAAGCATCTCGCACGCTTACACCCAGCCGCGCTGGGATGGCGGTCTGGTCGTTGCAGGTCATGCTGCGGGCCCCGTCCTGTCCCGGCGTGGTGAGGGGAGCTCGAACGGATCCTTCATCAATGACGAAATCGACCCTTTGTCACGATCCTTGCTGGCCCGTCGTGTGCCCATCTGCGCCGTGATGCCTGTGTGCGATGGCGAATGCCGACATCCGCGTTGCCTGAGCGAGCTGTCGAAGCGGGCGAGCAGACCGTGACAACTCTGGACCGAATGATGGAGATCGGAAAGGGCGCTGGCACTGCGTGTGCTGTGCAGCCGCACGAGAGAGACGCGCGGCGGTTGAAGTCGAGAGGGGACCCCTGGTTGGCCATTTGAGGGACGCCCTCGCTCGGCCCGAAGGTCGTGGGCCCCGACCCCACCACACCTTTCGTAACCCTCGACCCAGCCACAGCAGGCAGACCAGGCAACTCGGCAGCATGCATGCTCCATCTCCCTGGTGCTGGTGACGGCCTTGCTTCGATCCATGCATCCCGACAGGCTGTCAATTCCCGGCGTCTGCTTGATTGGGGCCGGTATGCTATTTCTGGGACATCCAAACCGCCCGCTCCTGACCTGCTCTTAGCTTGATTGGGCGGATGGATGCTGTCGCGTGGCGGCGAACAGCCTGGCCTGCCATGCGCCAGCCATCAAAGATCGACCGACTCCTGCGTCCACGGCTTCCATGCGCGCCCTGTCTTGCCCTCGCCTTCGTCCGCCTCACCCTCGACCCACGTACGTCGATGTGGACCGTCCAATGAGGGCGACCGGCCCGCACCTTTGGACGATGTTGTCAAAGGCCGCACGACGAGCCCATCAGGCTGTCAGGTCACGCCGGCGAACACGTACGGTCCGATCGAAAGGAAAGGCTGGGTCGCTGGCTCGGTCAACCTCGATGACGATCGACGAGGCAGGCAGAGCGCAGTTCGAGGCTGTCAAAGAGGGCGGCGGATCTCTGCGCCGCAGCCTCGCCATGCGGCCATCCAAAGACAAAGGCGGCAAAGGTCGCTCCACCTCGCCCGTCATGTTGCAGGCGATGCGTCGTCCGAGGAGGTGGGCTGCCCCCCGCTTCGCTCCCGATACGGACGATGGCCTGGCCGTGCTTGCTTCCTTGCCGGCCGGCCGGTCGGCCATGCGCGGTGCCTGTTACGTGGTAACCCTCGACCCTCTTCGTCACCCTCGACCCTCTCCGTCACCCTCGACCCTCGACCCTCGGCTTGGTCCAGCCCCGCACGACTCCTGGTGTACATTCCCCCGCCGGCGGCGGCACGGCTCACAAGCAGAGAACAACCCGCCTGCCACTTGGGGAGAAGCAGCGATGCCACCATGCCGGAGCTCCCTGCGCCGCTGCTGGGCTGGAAGATCAACAGCGCGCCCACCCAGCCTTGCCCTCGGGCCCTTATCGACTCGGGATCATCTGGCAGCGCGGCCAAAGGGGCAAGCGTCGGCGAGGCCATCGTCGGTGGGTCGACCAGCCGCAGCGCTCTGAGCTTGTTTCAGCAGCGCCGCGTGGCTTCGTCGTCCACCTGGCCTTGCGGCGCCCAGTGGTGAGTGCTTTCCGCCCACCTCGACGCCCTACTGGCCATCACCGTCTCGCCTCGCCGTCCAGTGGCCACGTTGCTTGCCTGGCCAGGCCAGCCCGAGTCGGCTCGTGGATGGATCTGACGGCGGGCTCCTTGCCGCTTTCTCGTCCCAGGCCGCCTTGCACAGCCACGGCGCCTGTGAATGGCAAGAGACGCCTCCCCTCGCCGCGCTCCTGGTCGATGGCGCAACGTTCGTCCTCGTCGCTCGTCGCTCGGCGCCGTGTCCACCCCTTCCTGGCCGCCCGCGCGGGTCACAACGACAGAGAGGAGCCTATAAGGAAGCCAGGGCGACCTTCATCGTACTCTCGCCGCCATCCCTCGCCCTCCCCGGAGTCTCTCATCGTCCTCCCCACTTTCCTCCGCCTTGTGCTCCTGTCCACCACGGAAGACCAACCCAGCTGCCACCTCCACCACCTCGCCGGACCGCAGCCCCTCGCCCGAGATGGATCCCGAGAAGCACTCGTTGGACGGTCAGGACGACAAGGAGCGCGACCTCGACCTCGACCTCGACCACGACCACGACCTCGAGAAGGGCGGCGTTGGCCACCCATCCATCCTCAACAAGACACACAATGCCACCTTCGAGAGCCAAGGTCCCTCGCGCCTCCGCCTGCAGACCAACAAGACGCTGGAGCGCACCTACAGCGTTGCGCCCTCGATCCGCGGTCCGGCACGCGTCGAGGCGGGCGCCAAGGTGCCGGGCGAGTTCAAGACGCTCAGCCTGCAGCTGTCCCAGGGCGGGCTCAACGATCGCATCGAGCGAAAGAAGCGCGAGCAGAAGACGGTCAAGGGTGCGTTTGCAGAGTCGACGAGGAGCGGGGGCGGTCGTCTTGGCGAGCAGACCACATGCTGACCTCCTTTCTTGCGTTCCCCTCGCGGCGCCTGACCCGACAGAACTGTCTGAGCTCGACTGGCACTCCATCAGCGCAGAAGATGCGCTCAAGCGCCTCGGTTCGGCGGCCGACGCGGGCCTCGACACCTCGCAGGCCGAGCGCCGCCTCAAGCAGTACGGCCGCAACGAGATGTCCAAGCCGCCGAACCGCTGGGCCCGCAAGCTCTTTGGCTACGTCTTTGGCGGCTTCGGCCCGCTGCTCGTCGCCGGTGCCATCGTCTGCTTCATTGCCTGGAAGCCGCTGGGCAACCCGCACCCGCAAGTGTCCAACCTCGCCCTCGCCTGCGTGCTCGTCTTTGTCGTCGTGCTCCAGGCGGCGTTCAACGCCCACCAGGACTGGTCCACGGGCCGGGTCATGGAGTCGATCGCCGGCATGCTGCCCGAGGCGGTGATCGTCGTCCGCGACGGCCAGAAGCACTCGATCCCGGCCGCCGAACTGGTGCAAGGCGACGTCGTCGTCATCTCGCTCGGTTGCAAGGTGGCCGCCGACTGCCGCATCATCGCCTGCTCCGACGCCAAGTTCGACCGCAGCGTCGTCACGGGCGAGGCTGACGCCGTGGCTGGCTCGGTCGACATGACCGAGCACAACTACCTCGAGACCCGCAACATTGCCCTGGCCGGCACCAGCTGCGTCAACGGCTCGGCGCTCGGCCTCGTCGTCGCGACGGGCGACAACACCGTCTTTGGCCGAATCGCCAAGATGACGAACCGTCCGCGGACGGGCCTCACGACGCTCGAGCGCGAGGTCCGCCTGTTTGTCTACACCATCGCCGCCATCGCCATTGGCGTCGCCGTCGTCTGCGTCATCTTCTGGGCCGCCTATCTGCGCCCCAGGCACCCCGACTTTATGTCGACGTCGGCGCTGCTGGTCAACGTCGTCTCGATCCTCGTCGCCTTTATCCCAGAGGGCATGCCGATTGCCGTCACCCTCTCGCTCACCGTCACCGCCCGCAAGATGGCCAAGGCCAAGATCCTCTGCAAGCAGCTCTCAACTTGCGAGACGCTCGGAGCCATCACGGTCCTTTGCTCGGACAAGACGGGTACCCTGACGAGCAACCGCATGACGGTTACCTCGGTCGGCGTCCACGGCTTCACCTCGGACCCGCTCGACGCACGCGACCACATGACCACGGGCGGCCCGCTCGCTTCGGCCTTCACCCAGCTCCAGCTTGTCGGCGCCGTCTGCAACGCCGCCACCTTTGACGCCGCCTCGTGCCACCTGCCCGTCCGCGAGCGCACTGTGCACGGCGACGCCACCGACACCGCGATTCTCAAGATGGCCGAGGAGATGGCTAGCGGCGTCGAGCGACTCTCCAGCGCCTGGACGACGCGCTTCCAGCTCGCGTTCAACTCCAAGAACAAGTTCATGCTCAAGCTTGTCCGCGCCTCGGACGCTGGCGCTGCGAGCCGTGCAATCTCGATCGCCGAGGCGGAGCGCTTCGATGCCGAGCGTGACCTGATCCTGCTGGCCAAGGGTGGGCCGGATGTCCTGCTCAAGCGCAGCGCCTACGCCCTCGACGCGTCGGGAGAGGTGGTGCCGCTGACCGACGAGATCCGACAGTCGCTCATGGCCACCCAGGCAGCCTGGTCGTCGCGCGGCCAGCGAGTCATCCTGCTGGCCCGCCGCATCGTCACGTCGACGATGATCGACACTTCGCTGCCGATCGAGGATGCGGCGGCGCTCGCTCTCAACGTCGACCTCACCGTCGTGGGCCTGGTTGGCATCGTCGATCCGCCGCGCCCCGAGATCCCCGAGGTGGTGCGCACCTGCCGCGGCGCGGGCATCCGCTTCTTCATGGTCACCGGCGACTTCCAGCTGACGGCCGAGGCCATCGCGCGCCAGTGCGGCATCGTCACCGCCGAAAAGGTGGATCGCTTCGACGCGCTCTCGACCGCCTCGCTGCCCGAGTACGACACCTTCGCCGATGGCAACGACACACGTCCGCAGCGCGCCCTCAGCCTGACGGGCAGCGACCTGATGCAGATGGCCGAGGCGCAGTGGGAGCAATGCTGCCGGTACGACGAGATCGTCTTCTCTCGCACCACGCCCGAGCAGAAGCTGCGCATCGTCAAAGAGTTTCAGGCGCGCGGCGGCTGCGTCGGCATGACAGGCGACGGCGTCAACGACGCGCCCTCGCTCAAGCAGGCCGACATCGGCATCGCCATGGGCGGCGGCTCATCGGTGGCCATGGAGGCGGCCGACATGGTGCTGCTCGAGAGCTTTGCCAGCATCGTCGACGCCCTCGTCTTTGGCCGGCTGGTCTTCTGCAACCTCAAGAAGACGGTGGCCTACCTGCTGCCGGCGGGCACGTTTGCCGAGCTGTGGGCGGTGCTGCTGTCGTTCTTCTTTGGCCTGCCGCAGATCCTCAGCAACCTGCAGATGATCTTTGTGTCGGTGGGCACCGACGTGCTGCCGTCGCTCTCGCTCTGCCTCGAGAAGCCCGAGTCGGACCTGCTCAAGCGCAAGCCGCGCAACGTCAGGACCGACCGCCTGGCCGACTGGCGCCTGCTGACGCACGCCTACCTCTTCGTCGGCCTCCCCGTCACGGCTGCCTCGTGCGCCATGGGATTCTGGTGGATGCAGCGGCACGGCGTCCCCTTCAGCGACATGTGGCTGCGCTACGGCGGCGGGCGCGTGCAGACCGAGTCGCCGGCCCTCTTCAACGAGGTCCTCTACCAGGCCAACGCCGTCTACTTTTTCAACTTGATTCTGATGCAGTGGTTCAACCTGCTCGGGTGGCGCACGCAGAAGCTCAGCAGCCTTTTCCAGCAGCCTCCGATCGGCAACGCGCGCACCCAGAACCTCGCCCTATTCCCCGCCATGGCCTTTGCCCTTGTCCTCGCCGTCTTCCTCTCCTACATCCCCGCCCTCCAGCGCGTCTTTCTCACCCGCGGCGTGTCCGTCGAGCACTTTTTCCTGCCGATGGCCTTTGGCGCGACGATGCTCCTCGTCGAGGAGGGACGCAAGTACCTCGTCCGCCGCTACCCGCGCGGCGTCGTCGCCAAGATGGCCTGGTGAAGCGCCGCCGCTTGATGCCCTGCGGGCTCGCCTCGCCTTGTGATCTCGCCCACGAAAGCAACGCTCCCCTCGTCATCTCACGCACTGTAAACAGCCTTGTTTCAATCTCACGAATCCAGCATGGCAGAGTCGAGAGCAGGACGAAAGCTTGTCGGCGAGCTTTGTCCTTGGCCTGATGAGCAGCCCGCCTCTCGTGCGGAAAGCTCGGGGGCAGCGGGGGGGAGCGCTGCTGCACGGGCGCCGGCGCTGGACCCTGGCCCACCGCTCGCTCGAGACCACGCCGCCACACTTTCCTCCCTCCTGCCTCCATGCCTTTCCGGTATCATCGCGGACATGGCCACGTATATCCAAGCATGGCGGCCAGTGCGTCTCGCCCGCGCAGTCTACGACACATCTCCGCTCCTCGTCTCGAGTCTGGTCGCGCTGCTCGTGGCAAACCTCGCGTCGACGGGCTACCGCGATTACCGCCTCTACATCTCGCTGGGAGGCGGCGGACCGTTGCCGCACAACCTGTTCGGCTGGCTCGTACACTCCCTCGTGCTTCAGCCGCTTGCCCTGGCAAGGTTCTGGCGCACAAGTAGCCGCCACTACCTTCCACTCGCCGATGGTGGTGGCAGGGGATATCTGAAGGGCCAGCTGGGATCGAGGAGGGGCGGGAGGCCAAAGACGGCCGGAGTGGCTCCGCATCGGCAGGTCGACCAGCTCGACGAGACTGGCAGCGAAGAGGTGGGTCATCGAGCTGGTACAAGGTGCAACGCCGACCCTGGCTGATCACGCTGTTATGTTCTCCCTCGCGCACACCCGCACAGGCGCTCAAGGCGCACCTGCGGCAGCTGGCCGCCAACCACCCTTCGCACCTACTCATCTCGTCCTCCCGCATCGAACCCTCGTCCACCGCCCTCTTCTCGCTCACCCACACCCTCGTGACCCGCTCCGACGCACCCTCGCGCTCCACGCGCTCCGCCGCCTTCCCCTCGGACCTGTCGCGCCTCTTCCTCTCGTCGCTGCCCGGCGCAGAGTTCTGCCACGTCCACGCCCCGCCTGACGCGCCCGGCAAGCAGGACGGCAGCCTCCACCTCGTCCTCTCGCCCGAAGATGCCGACGAGGTCATCGGCAAGGGATGGGGAGAGCTGCACGGCCTCGCCGGGTGCCCGGCCTACACGGGCTTCTGGATCGGTTGGCCCGCCTGGCTGGCTCGGCGGTGGAGCATTTCGGGTTCGGCTCGGTGGTGGAGCGGCGCAGGGTGGTGGGCAGGTGGTCGGGCCGGAGCAGGTGCGGCGAACAAAGTGCAGCGCAAAGTCGGCCTGCCGCCGACGTACACCCTCATCTACGCACCGCGGGACGACGACGAGGTCGAGGCCGTCAAGCGCATCATCAACGCCTCGGTCGCCTTTGCCACGGGGCTGCGCGAGGTGCCGTAGGGCGTGGGTCACTCGCTCTGTCGCTCGCATCTATGGGTTGTCTACGATACATGCCTGCCACCACCGCCGCCGCCGCCGCTGCCAAGGTGACTTTTACTTGGGCCCCTTGCCCTTCGCGCCGTCGTACGCCAGGTCGTCGCTCCAATCCGGCAGCTCGTTTTCCCTCCTGAAGCCAGGCGTGCAGTTCGTGTAATGCAGACGGGGGACGGCGTCAAAGTAGGCGTCCCACTCCGTCTTGAGCGCCTGGCGCAGCGACTGCACCTCGCCGCGCGGGAAGAGGGCGGTCCAGAGCTCGCGGCACGCCCGGCCCTTGCAGTTCTTGAGGTTGAGGAGCAGCGCATCCAGCCGCGTGGCCACGCGGTGCGACGACGAGGTGCGGCTCTGCAGCGGCGCAAACGGTTCCGCCAGCGCCGTGCCGTTGGTCGACGGGGGGAGGAGGAGGTTGTTCATCTGGTGCGGGTCAACCTGTCGAGTGGCAAGGAGGGAACGAGGTAGCCAGGAGTGAAGGGTCGAGGTGAGTACCGCAGCAGTCATCGCCAGGTCCAGACGCGCCACTCACATTCATGTCGTAGAGCTCGCGCTCGCCGTTGCACCACACGGTGTAGGCCCAGTTGGCGCCGTCGTCCTTGACCCGCAGCGCGCGGTAGAGGGCGGCCTGCTGTTCCCCGGCGTACTTGCCCTCGTCGAGCAGGTAGACCCAGTACTCGGAGAGGTGGTGCGTCGACGTCCCCGTCAATGCCCCATCCACGCCGTCAGCCGCGGTCCCGATCGACTTGTCGTGCTTGCCTTCGCGACCGACAGGACGCGCCCAGGGCATGACCCTTCCGTCGAGCTCGTACTGCGTCTCGACGCCCGCCAGATGAGCGATGGTGGCGGACACGTCGATGTTGCTGTGAACGTCGTCCCGCAGACCGCCGGCCGGGACGCCGGGCCCGCGCACGAAAAAGGGGACGCGGATGTCTTGCTCGTATCCGGTCGTCTTGCCCGGCTGCCTGCGGTGGCTGCCCAGGGTGTAGCCGTTGTCGCTGCTGTAGATGATGTAGGTGTTGTCGAGGATGCCGAGCTGCTCGGCGCGGTCGACGACGGCGCCGATGAGCTCGTCGACGGACTGGAGGGAGCGGAGGCGGAGGCGGTACCACTCGTCGAGGTAGGCCACCTGCTCGTCGTCGAGGCGGGTGAGGTTGCGGATCGTGTAGGCGCCGCTGGGTCGGTCCGGGTTGAACGAGGGGGTGCGCGGGATGGTGGCGTCGGGGAAGAGATGCGCGTGCCGCGGCGCCGAGACGGGCGGGAGGAAGACGCTCTTGTCCGCGGGCAGCAGCTCGGCGTGCGGGCCGATGGGCGCGATGCCGACAAAGAAGGGCTGGTCGCTCTTGACGGCCTCGTCGAGCATCGAGAGGCCCACGTCGCGGATGTGGTCGGTCGAGTACTCGCCCGGCCTGTTTTCGGGCGGGCCGCCATCGACGCTGTAGGTGGCGTTGGTGAAGGCGTAGGTGTGCGGGTCGAGGAGGATCTCGGAGCGGTTGAAGCCGTGCACGGCGACGCTCTGGGCGTTGGTGAGCGTGTTGCCGTTCATGAGCTTGCCGACGTACGAGGTGTGGTAGCCGGCCCGCTGGAGCCACGAGGGCAGGGCATCGTCGCGGTACCCGAGCTCGACGTAGCGCTCCCAGCCGCCAAAGGGCGCCGAGACGTAGGTGACATTGTGGCTGTGGCCGTGCTGCGAGCGCAGGAAGCCGACGCGCGACGGGCAGCAGATGGACATGGGCGTGTAGAAGTGCGTGTAGTTGCTGCCGCCCTCGGACAGGGTGCGCGCCAGGTGCGGCATGACGTCCCGTGTGGCAGAGGCGGCATCCTGGTCGTCGGAGAGGATGTAGATGAAGTTGGGCGCCCGACGCGATAACGATGATGGGGATGAGAGGGAGGCTGCGTTGGACGCGGGCGGTGCGCCGCGGGGCTGCGCCGGCGTGGCCGAGGTGGCGCTGGTGAGCAGCAGCAGCGCGAGCAGGGTCGTCAAGAAGGAGCTGCTGACGACGACCATCTTGGGCAAAGATCTCCGGAGAGCAGGGCGTTAGAGGGCGAGGATGGGACCTTTTGATCAAGGACTTGATCCCCTTTGACCTCGACTTATATCGATGCCGGCCAAACTTGCAGACGAGGCTGGATCGCTGCCTGCAATCGACATGTCGGCGAGCACGTCTGGTGTGCAGAGTGCCATCTAGAGCCGTACGTTGGGGCACGGACTTGGGCAGCTCGGTACTGGCCGGCCCAAAGCGATAGAGACGGAGTCATTCGCCACGCGACCCTCTGTACAGTACTGTATGTACAGTACTGTATGTACAGTACTGTATGAGATAGCGTGGGAGAGGAGCAGGGTGGCGCTCGCGTGTCAACTCGACGTCGGGGTCGATCCACGGCCGATGGCGAGCAAGGCTTCAGTACAGCGTCTCTGCACGCTCCTGGAAGCTTGGCGTGATTGTCGGAGCGAGATGGTCGGGGAGGATTGGTTCACTGTACGACGCCTCTCAGCTGATCCCTCGCCTGTTTGGTTGTGGCAGGCGTGCGTCGTCGATGGAATGGCAAGCCTGGGAGGCGATATGGTGTGCTCGTCTGGCGCGGTTTGGCTTTGACACGCGCGGGGCCGGGGGAGGGGGGCGGGACGCGCGGGGTGGCACCGACGGACGAGGTTTGACGTGCATCGGCAGCCGGGATGCGTGCGGGGGCGTCGACGGCTCAAGTCGACGTTGGCATCCGGAGACCGGCAAGAGGCCGAGGAGAGTGGTCACTGGTCAGGCAGAGGAGCAAAAGTGCGGACCCGAAGCTGAGCCAGGCAGACGTCTCGAGCGCCGACCAGCCGGGCGAGAGGTGCCAAGGCAACGACGGAAGATGCGGCAAACCAAGCCAAGCCAAGAGGCAGACTAGTCAGGGCGCTAAGAGGCAGCTCGCGTGGACCGCGTGGTTCGTCTGAGCGTGGGCGCAGGCGAGCTGGCCTCCCTGGCGACTGGAACCGCCGCAACCGCTCAGGTTCTGCAAAGAGTTTTCCTGCCTCTTTCGTTGGAGCTGCGCTGCGCTGACTGACCGGCCAATCCCCGCCCAAAGTGATCAAAGAGCGGCGCCGCGGAGGATTTCTTCAACGGCCGCCCCTCAGTCGCCCTGGCCTGGCCTGGCCTGGCCTGGCCATGCGGTCGTCTTTGACGTCGTCACTCGATCCCATTCCTACGGACGGGCGAGTCGGTTGGGCCATCCTCTTGAATTGCGGCAACCTTGGCTGTATGTACGACCTTGGTCGAGCTCGCCAGGCCAAGCGCAAGCGCAAGCTCACACGCACAGCGACGACGACGACGACGACGACGACGAAGCTAAGCTTGACGGCAAGCGCGGGCCGCGGCAAGTGACGAGACGAGAAAATCGCCGCAGCGGAGCGCTAAAAGGCGGGCGAGCGGGCGGGCGGGCGGCGGCACCGTGATGCCGGCGGTGGGCGCGGCTGAGCGGCGCAGACGTCCGGTTCAAAGGGCCGCCCCACTTTGCCCTGCCAGGCAACAGAGGCCGTCGTTCGAGATGGCTCACGACGTCGTACGTTGCTTTGTCGCTTCCCCCCCTCTCGCTGACCGATTTCGACCCTCGGATACCGCGGCGCCCCTCGCCTTCTTACGGCCCAGAGAGTCGCTTTGGCTTGTGATTCACTCGTACCGTACCCAAAGCCACTCAGGCGATGGCCCGCTGCCCGTAGCGGGCTGCGGTATCCGCTCCGCCTCGCCATCATGCCTCTTTGTCCCTCGTCCATGTCCTCGTGGCCTGGCCCCCTTCTGGTCACTGGTCCAAGCAAGCCCTTCCCCGGCAACCTCTTCCGAAGCCTCTCCTCTCGTTCCCCCCGCACTGAGCTGGCTCGCGTGGCACTTCTGTTGCAGTCCCTACGTAGAACGGTAGTGCACGGCGGCATGGCATGGCATGGCATGGCATGGCAGGGCAGGGCGTCGCGCGCCATTCAAACCTCAATCCCCAGGCGCACTCCCCTGCCTGGCACAGCAGCAGCCGCTTGGAGAGATCCGGGGTACAGCACGGGGTCAGACCAGGCACTCGGTCCTCGCGCCCGTCGTCGCAATGTGGTGTGGGGGCGGTTGTACAGCGATAGTGCACCTCACTGCAGTTGCCGTCCCGTCTCGATTGCCTTTGCCGTGCCGTTGCGGAGCCCCGCCTTGTCCCTGCGCTATCGCCGACGAGCCTACCCTTCGACTGCGGGGTACGGTGATGTGTGAGCTGCCGTACTAAGTACCTAGCTATAGCTTTGCGAACGACGGAAGCCTTTGCGAGAGTGTACTTATACCGAGAGGCAGAGCGAGGATGGCGCCTCGCCTCGTCTTCCTCTTTTGCCAAGACAGACAGCCGCGAGGGTTTCCGCCTTCCTCCCCCCCACCTCTAACCGCCGCCGCCGCCGCCGCCGCCAACGACTGACTCTTGACGCCCTGACGCCCCGATACCCTCTGAGCTTCTTCTTGTTCTTCTCCTTCCACCTCCCTCCATCTCCATCTACCTCCCCGAGTCGGCTGCCCCTGGCCCCTATTTCATACACGCTCCGGCGCCCCTTCGTGACTTGGCAGCCCCTGCAGCTCCTCTTATCCCCCCCTTCTCAGAGCCGCGACGACGACCACGACAACCACGCCCTGCAACGACGAAACCTAGCACGTCTTCCCATACCCTGATCTCCTCCTTCTCACCTCTCCCTCTCCCCTCGCCGACCTTCTTGATCCCGTGACACTCCGCTCCGCCACCATGACGGGCTCGACGCTGCACCACCCTGATCCGGCGCACCCGCTCAACTTTTCCACGACCAAGAAGCTCCTCCTCCTCGTCACGCTCTCGGTCGCCGCCTGGCTGGCAAACTACACGGCCGCCGCGCACCTCACTGCGTTCCCGCAGGTGGCCAAGTCGCTCGATGCCACCATCCCGCAGGTGGCCAACGCCATCGGCATCATGATCCTCGGCCTCGGCACCGGGCCCCTCCTCTGGAACGCCCTGGCCGGCTCCATCGGAAGGAGGCCCACGATGCTCTTTAGCTGGTTCCTCTTCTTCGGCTGCACCTTTTGGATCTCGTTTTCCTCGACCTACAACAGCTTCGCCGCCGCGCGCTACTTTGCCGGCTTCGCCGCGTCGGGCTCCCAGACCATTCCCGCCACGGTCGTCTCCGAGACGTTCCTGCCGGAGCGCAGGGGCACCGCCATCGCCTTCTGGGCCCTCCTCCTCCTCATCGGCCCCGTCACCGCCCCCATCGTCGGCGCAGCCTTCCTGACGGTGACGACGTGGCGGTGGATCTACTACTTCACCATCATCCTCTCGGGCGTCGTCGGCCTCATGATCTTCTTCTTCATGCCCGAGACGCTCTACAACCCGAGCGCCACCGCAGCCGACGCCGTCAACGGCCAGACGACGAGCAGCATCGTCGACCGCTCCCACCACCACCAGCAGGACCTCGACGACAAGAAGGAGTGGAACGTCGACGAGGTGCGCGACGCCCTGCCCTCGCCCACGCTCGCGGCGCCCACGGGCGCCCACGGCCGCATCGGAGCAGCGTGGTACCCGTGGCAGCAGCCGCTGCGCTTCCTCGGCGAGATCATCGAGCCCCTCCTCATGGCCCGCTACATTGTCATGCTCGTGCCCTCAATCGTCTACGCCGTCGTCTTCATGTGGAGCGTCGGCTTCACCGTCGTCGCACCGCAGGTGCTCGAGCACCCGCCCTGGCACTTTTCCGGCGTCGCCGTCGGCGCCGCCTTCCTCGCCGCCGCCGTCGGTTCCGTCGGCGGCAAGTTTGCAGGGGGCTACTTTGCCGACGGCACCGTCTCGTTCTTCCAGCGTCGCGCTGCCGCCGCAGGTGGCGGTGGTGCGGGCGGTGGGGTCGAGAACGGTCTCGTCGGGTCTTCGTCGATGCCGTTGCGCAAGCCCGAGTACCGGCTGTGGGCGACGCTGCCGCAGTGGCCCATCCTGCTCGTCGGCCTGCTCATGTTCGGCCTCGGCTTCGCCAACGAGCTCTCGTGGCCCGCCGAGGTCATTGGCGGCTTCGGCGTCTTCTACTTTGCCAACTCGGCGCTCGGCGGCATCATCCAGACCTACATCTGCGAAACCTACCTGGCCAAGAGCGTGCACGGCATCGCCCTCTTCAACTTTGTCAAGTGCTGCCTCGCCTTTGCCGCGCCCTTTTTCATCCCGTCGTGGGCCATTGGCAACTTCAAGTCGGCCTACATTGTCCAGGCCGTCGTCGTCGTCGTCATCGGGTACGCCATGGCCATCGCACTCATCCTGTGGGGCGAAAAGATCAGGAGGTGGCAGCGCATGCCCATGCTCTGAGCCCCAGGAGAGGGGAGGGGATGGGAGGAGGGTGACGCGCGCCGCTGATCGTCCTTTTCGCCTCGTTGTCGCCTTCGTGGGTCCCTTGGTTTCCCGATACGGGCTTGGCTCCTCGTTTCGTCTTGTACGTGTCCCTTGCTTCTCAGTTCCCCTCGTCCCCTTGTCATTGTCGAGTAGATGCGGTCTCGGTTCCATCGCGAATGCCATGCAACGTCGACCTGATCGAAGCGCAGCCAGGACCCCGGGCGACGCGGAGGGATGTCTACGATGAGTTGCAATCGGAAGATCAAGGAGCGAAGGCGGCGGGACGATGGCCAGCCTGCGTCGAGTATAGTACACGGAGCAAATAGGAGAGAGGGTCAAAGAGAAACGAGCGGCGGGATGCAGTCGGGAAGGTGAAAAGACGGCAGGGCAAGGGGCCACGGCCACGAGCCTGTGGTATGGGGTCGGGTCCTCACGGCCAGACGAACAGAGCGAGCAGGGGAGGCGGGGCAGCCAACCGAGCCGCCTACCTGAACTTGAGCTCGCTGTAGCTGCCGTACTTTGCGTCGAGGAGGTCGTACCAGTAGTTTGTCCTCATCCGGAAGGGGCCCGACGTGGCCGCCTTGGGCAGGTCGTCGGAGGCCTTGACGACGTAGGTCGAGTTGAGGTTGAGGAGGGGGCCCTGCTTGAGCTGCTCGCGCTGCTTTGGCTCGGGCACGACGAGCGTCTGGTGGTGCGTGTCGAGGTGCTTAAGCAGGCGGCAGAGGTACATGGCGGTGCAGTCGCTGCCGAGCGTCCAGCTGGCGTTGGTGTAGCCAATCGAGAGGGCCATGTTGGGCACGCCCTCGAGCATGGCGCCCTTCCAGACGTAGCGGTTGGATGCGTCGACGCGCTTGCCGTCGACCTGCATGTCAATGTTGCCGCCGATGGCCAGCTTTAGGCCCGTGGCGGTGACGATGATGTCGGCGGGCAGGCGCTGGCCGTCCTTGAGCACAATCTCGTCCTTCTTGACCTCGGCAATGTGGCCCGTGACAATGTGCGCCTTGCCGGAGCGGAGCGACTGGTAAAAGTCGCCGTCCGGGCAGATGCAGAGGCGCTGGTCCCAGGGGTTGTAGCTCGGCTTAAAGTGCGGGTCGAGGGGCACGCTCTTGGGCAGCTGGCTCTTGGTCATGGCGCCGAGGATGCGCTTGGCGATGCCAGGGAAGGTGCGGAAGACGTGGTAGCTGGCGTAGATGCGCGCAATGTTCTTCTGGCGGATGACCTTGGCGGCGATCGAGGCGGGCAGCAGCCGGCGGATCCACTTTGCGATGGGGTCAAACTTGTCCAGCGAGACGATGTACGACGGGCTGCGCTGGAGCATGGTGATGTCCTTGGTCTTTTCGGCCATCGAGGGGAGGAGGGTGATGGCGGTGGCGCCGCTGCCAATGACGACGACGCGCTTGTCGGTGTAGTCGGCCTCGGTGAGATCCCAGAACTGCGGGTGGACGACCTTGCCGCCAAAGTTGCTGATGCCGGGGATCTCGGCCTTGAGCGGCTGGTTGTAGTCGTAGTAGCCGGTGGCGAGGAAGAGGAAGCGGGAGCGGACCTCGGACTTCTGGCCGCGGTGGTCGAGCTCGACGTTCCAGCATCGCTCCTCTGTCGAAAAGTTGGCGCTCGTCACCTTTGTGCTGTAGCGCGTCTTTTCGGTGATGCCGTTTTCGTCCGAGACCTGCTTGAGGTAGGCCTTGATCGACTCGCCCGAGGCAATGTCGGCGCCCTCCCACGCCTTGAAGGCGTAGCCGAACGTGTGAAGGTCAGAGTCGGATCTGCGAGGTGGGTGGGTGGGGCCATCGGGCAAGGGGTGGGAAGGTGAGGGGAGGGTGAAACAGGGATGGAGGGAAGCTGGTCAGCAAGGGAGCAGATCGCGACGGGCCAAAGGCGAAGCGGGCAACGTCGGCGGCTACCCACCGGATGCCGGGGTACTTGAAGAGGTCCCAGGTGCCGCCGAGGGTGTCACGGTTCTCGACGATGAGGAACTTCTTGTCAGGGCACTCGTCGGTGAGGCGGTATGCGACGTTGATGCCCGAAATGCCGGCGCCGACAATGAGGACGTCGAGGACGCCAGAGTCGTCGTAGTTGGGGATGGAGCCCATGGTGGCAGCGTCGAGACGGGTGGCGGAGGTGGAAATGCGTGTGGCGCAGGTGCGAGTCTAACGTGGCTTGATGGGAGCGGGTGAGTGTGCGCAGGGAGGCAAGTTAGGATGGCAAGGTTGTGGACGATTGGTGGCGGGATGGCGACGACAAGGATGGCGAGAAGGAGACGAAGGGCTATATACCGATGGCGCGCCGAGTCGAATGGCCACATGCAGGAAACTGGTCGGTGCGGACCCCGCGGCTTTCAGCACCCGCCGCCCGGAAGTCGAAGCTGGCCGGGCAAAGGAGGCCTGCGCCAGGAGGGCGCGGCCAGGCAGCGCCAAAAAGTCTGGGGAAGGAGGAGGCAAACAGGCCGCGGGCAGTGCCCCTCTGCGCTAGCTAGCATGTCGCTTGGGCCTCTGAAACGCTGACGATGCGTTTTCAACGACCTGCCACCTCTGCGCGCGGAGAGAGAGCGAGAGGCGAGGTCAGAGACTCCGCAGCGAGACGGGGGGTTGGCTGGGTTTGCGGCTCTCGAATGGCGCAGCGCCGTTGGGTGCCTAGCGGCCGTCAGGAATTGGGTCATTCCAGAGGGTCGAAGCGCTCCCTCTGAGGCAGCCTAGCACCGTAGGGCCAAGGCGAGGTGGCGAACCCTCCGTCGCCTTCGCTAACGGGCGAGCAGCGGGAAAATGCCAAAGAGGGGTCCCCAGCCTGAGCGACTCACAACGCAGCGCAGCGTGCGTGAAAGCCAGCCTCGCCGCCCCGTCGCCCGCCTCACGCCCGCGGCTCTCGTCGTCAGCCCTCATGCCTATCTAGGTGCAGCAGCCGCATCCAGCGCACCGTCCGCCTCGCTTGCCGCTGTCCGCTTCCCGAGTCGCGAGCAGACGGATGGGCCAACGGGTCCGAGAAAGACTGCCGGCCGTCTTCCGAGTTTCCCAAGCAATCTCCATCGGGCTAAGTCTCAGAGTACAGACGGATCGGGCAAAGATCGGGCAATTCTCCGTACTTTACGCCTCGTCTAGCCGCCCCAGCACGTGCCTGCCTGCGCGCGCCCAGTTCGGCAGGCGGCAACAGCCTTCCGTCACTCACCATTTTATCTGCACCCAAGCTCCTGCTCTCTGTCGTGCGAGTGTGAGGTGCGGCCCGCTCGTCGCATGATGGACAGGCGGATCGGTCGGCGGTGGGGATGGCGGGATGGGGCGGCCACCGACGTGGAGGGCGGGCGCGTTCATCGCGGCACGGTCGGGACTGACGTCAAATACCGCCGATGGCTCAGCTGAGCTAAGAGACGCGTCCACAAAGAAATTTCGCCGCATCGCGCAAAGCAATCTTCCTTTCAAACATGCCCCGCCTCTCCCTAGCCGTCCCCCTGTCCCCATTATCGCATCCTTACCGCCGTGCGTGTTCGGTGGAGCTGGAAACGATGATGTTCGGAGCGGCCGCAACCCTGGCTCTTGGCGCCGTCGCCGTCGTGGTCGCCATCACACACTCATCAACCCTCTTCTCTCCACTTGGACAGCAAATTGTCGGCAGTCCAGCGGCCCGGCCGGCGATTGGATGCGGCCAGCGACGACGAGATCTTCATCAAGGGTCCCGAGGGCCCCGGCTGGCCGCCCCTGCCTTGCCTGACCGTGTGCCTACCGCCGAGGACCTGGCCCTTCCGTACCGAGCACCGTACGTGTGGACCGCCTGGCCGGGAGAGCCCCTTTGACGTGCCTGCGTCATGCAGCCTTGTGTAACCGCTCGGCAGCGCAGCGGCGGCCGGTGAAAAAGAAAAGATCATCACGGACTTTAAGGCTCTGTCGCGCCCCGTCCTGCTTCCGTCCTGATGGAAATCGACCGCATCGTCGTCGTCGAAAGCAAGGGGAATTGGAACGCCAGAGTGCTGGAGCCACCGGCAGCGATGGGGTCGTCCAGGACTCTCGTAAGCTCCACGTCCATCGGAACCCTCGGGCCGAGCGGAGCGTTGGTGGGTCGTCGTGGCTGAGCGTGGAACCATGTCGTCGTCGCGGCCGTCGTCGCGGCCGTCGTCGTACACTCGTCAGCCTCCCGCGGAAGCAGACAGCTAAGTAGCGGGCTAGGCCCGCCAGATCAGGGCCTGGCTGGACCCTAGCCTACTGGGCCATCCTCAGCATTTCGGGATGACTGACTTACCTACTCGTGCCGCTTCGCTCCACGCCGGCCGCTGGCCTTCTTTGCATGTTTCAGATGAAAGTCGTCCTGGTACTCCTGCCTCTCGGCCACCCTCTCGGCCAGGCCATCCCCCCAAATCTCGCCGCCAAATCTCGCCGGCGTTTCCGTTCCGGCGATGACGAGCTTACCTACACCGTACCGCGGGGTACAGGTACCCTGCTCTGACGGCACCTGTCGCTACCCTCTCGGTGGCTCTCGATACCGGCCGTCGGGAAGACCGTGGGGTACAGATCCACCTTCCCATCCGGCGATAGGAAGCTTTACTCGGCCTCGGGTCCATGCCCCCTTCCTTCTGGAAAACCACGGAAGCGGCGGGTCGGCACCCCTTCAAACGTACGTGGAATGACGTTCCGTTGGAGAGTCAGGCCCGAGCTGGAGTAGCAGGGCAGGCGGTAGCGTTCGCGTTGAGGAGCACCGAAGGATCCACGCGGCTTGAAGATGGGCAATGACAGAGCTTCATATAAAGCACGTCCCTGCGAGCTTCAGCTCCTTCCGCCCTTTCCCCCGAGCTCCCCATCGACCACCTCCCCTGCCCCCCTCCCGGCAGCATACCAGGCATCACCTGCTCCACCTCAGTCCTAGGGACGCACACCCGCCGCCTCAGCCTGCCAGCGCCCAGTTCTGCGACTATGTCGAAACCCAGTCCCGTCTGGGAGGATTCCGTCTTCGGCATCGTCGTCAACAAGCTCTCCAAGGGCAAGGTCTTTGTCCGTCCCGAAGAGGCGCCCGGCTACCAGGTGCCCGAGCGGTACCAGGCCGGCTACAAGACCCGACTCGCCCAGCAGGGATCTGGCTTGCGTTCCCATCAGCAGCAGCAGAACGGCTCCACCCTCGAACCGCCAGCCCGAACCGACAGCGATACCAGCACGCCGCTACGTAGCCCGTCGAGCAGCCCGAGCCATTCCAGTCACGGCAGCCATGCTCTCGAGCACAGCGAAAAGGCGGCGACCGGCGGCGCTGGCGGCGGCAGCTCGTCGAAGGACATCGAGTCGCCTCCGGAAAAGGGTGACGAAAACGACCCCTACCTCGTCACCTGGAACGGTCCCGATGACCCAGAGAACCCGCAGAACTGGCCCACGACGCGCAAGGCCTTCACCGTCGCCCTCATCTGCCTGCTCACGACGAGCGTCTACATGGGCTCGGCCATCTACACGCCGGGCGTCATGGGCCTGGCGCAGTGGTTCGGCGTGGGCACCGTGACGGCCACGCTGGGCCTGACGCTCTTCGTCGTCGGCTACGGCATCGGGCCCATGATTGGCCTGAGCGCCATGTCCGAGATCCCCTCGATCGGCCGCGCGCCGCCGTACGTCGCGACGCTCGCCATCTTTGTCATCCTCCAGATCCCCACGGCGCTCGTGTCCAACATCGCCGGCTTCATGATCCTCCGCTTCCTCGCCGGCATCTTTGGATCGCCCCCGCTCGCCACGGGCGGCGCGTCGATGGGCGACATGTTCCCCGTCCGCCGTCTGCCCGTCATGCTCGGCGTCTGGGGCATGGCCGCCGTCGCCGGCCCCGTCCTCGGCCCGCTCATCGGCGGCTTCGCATCCCAGGCCTACGGCGCCGAGGGGTGGCGATGGACCATCTGGCCGCTCCTCATGCTTTCGGGCTTCACTCTTGTGGTCCTCATCTTCCTCATGCCCGAGTCGTCGGCGTCCAACATCCTCGCCAAGCGCGCCAAGCGCCTGCGCAAGGTGACGGGCAACCCGCACCTGCGCTCCGAGGGCGAGCTCGAGGAGGCGGCCATGACGGGCCGCGAGATTGTCATGATGACGCTGGTGCGCCCATTTACCCTCACCTTTTTCGAGCCCATCGTGCTGAGCATCTGCCTGCACATCGGCCTCGTCTACGGCATCCTCTACCTCTGGTTCGAGGCCTTCCCGATCGTCTTTATCGAGACGTACGGCTTCAATTACGGCGAGATGGGCATCGCCTTCCTCGGCATCGCCGTCGGCTCGCTCCTCGGCTTCGGCGCCTTCTTCATCTGGGACCACCTCTACTACCAGCCCCTCTACGACCGCCTCGAGGGCAAGGTGCCGCCCGAGCAGCGTCTGTGGCCGGGCATCGTCGGCGCCTTTTGCATCCCCATCTGCATGTTTGGCTTCGGCTGGACCTCGACGGCCTCGATCCACTGGATCGTGCCCATCATCTTCAGCCTCTTTTTCGGCGCGGGCACCTTTGGCCTCTTCAACGCCGGCCTGGGCTACCTCGGCGAGGCCTATCCGCTCTACATTGCCAGCGTCTTTGCCGGCAACGACTTTGCGCGCGCCATGATCGGCGGTGCGCTGCCCCTCGTCGCCCGCGCCATGTTCAACAACCTCCAGGCCAACGGGCCCGAAGCCTTCCCCGTCGCCTGGGGCAGCACCCTGATGGGATGCATCTCGGTCGCCATGATCCCCATCCCCATCATGCTCTACGTCTACGGACCCAAGCTGCGCGCCTGGTCCAAGCACTGCGCCTCGCCCGACGACGCAAAGTACCACGGCGGATCCGGCCGCAGCAGCGAGAAGAAGGAGCTGAAGCAGGAGGCCTAGACCGTCGCACCTCGGCCGAGGGGGATCAACGATGGTGGTAGTGGTGGTGGTGGTGGTGGAGAGGCATAAGAAGATGCCACCGACCCAGACCATGAGCAGGGTCAAGACGACATGTGCCCCATCAATCACCCGCCGATCCCCGAGTCCCGTCCCGATCCAGCGAGCCCCTCCGCCCTTGCCTTTCCCGGCTCGCACCTTATACCACCCAACGCCACGCTCACGACTGTATCCAGGATCCGGCCCTCATCTCAGGTCACGAGTGTCTAATGTACCTAGCCCTTCGGCAGGCCTTCCTAGTCTAATAATGCACGCATGCAACAGCATCTGCAGCCTCCTCTCCATCGGACCGTGGGTAGGAGCGCACGAGGAACGTGCTGGCTCGAGACCGTAACTTCATGAGTCGAGCTCGTCGGCGGAGCAGGGCGAGCTCCGTGCTACGACTCGCGACTGTGGCCCTCGCCGATTGTGGCCCACCATGCGCGGAACTTCTCGATGACCTCCTCGTCCGTCTGCAGAAACTTGGCCAGCTTCCCGATCGGCTTCATGTCGAGATCGATGAGCTTAATCTCCACCTCCCTGCTCGCCGGCCCAGCGTCGACGTCCGCCGTATCGACGCCTCGAGGCTGGACGATCCGGAGCATGATGCTGCAGTCCTTGAACGTCGAAGCGACGAGGAAGCGGAGCGTCGCTCGGCGCAGCTCCGCGATCGTCGTCGGCGCCGACGGCGGCGGCGCTGCAGCATCGACGGGTTGTGAGGGGTCGCCGATTGCGGCCGCCACCTCTACGACAGTCGGAGGCAGGAGCAGCTGCGCCTGCTCCGGTGTCGCGTCGGCGGGGACGGTGCCCAGTGGGGCAGAGACGAGTCGTTGCCAGTCTGCAGCCAGGCCCTCGATGTCGCGCGGGTCTAGCGCCGATTGCAGGTGCGATAGTCGGCTCAGGACTGACTCCGCTCGGTCCGATGTTGATTGGAGGCGTGGAGCAGCGAGGGGAGAGATGAGGTGCGAGGCCAGCAGGGTTGCGAGATCGTCGGACGAGGAGGCGGACGAGGTGCCAGCGGACAGGTACGCCTTGATCTCGTCCAGCTCGGCCGTCTGTGTAGTCAAAGGAAGAGCACCAGAAGAGGCAGTGGTGTCGGTCAGCGCCGAGCCCACTGCGCCGCAACCACGTTGCACCCTCGCCATGCTCTGCAGCCACTCACCTGGGTGGGCTTGACGACCTCGCCGTTCCAGAACAGCCTCAGATTGTTGGTGGTCCCTCCGCTCTGCTGCCAATCTGCCGCTAGTGCATCCAGCGCTTTTTGCATCCTGTCCGTCTGGCAACTGTACAGGTCGAGCGGATCATAGTGCCCCTCAAACTCGGCGTGAGCGAGCGAGGAAGGATCGGGATGGCGCGCGACCTTGTGCATCCTGAAGCGCGAGTGGCGCGTCTTGAGTTCAACGTTGGGCGAAGAGATCGACGAGAGCGAGGACGACGAGGGGAGGTAGCCCCATTTCGGCTGCACTCGTTCAGAGGTTCATGAGCGGCAAGGTCAGCCAGCGAATCCAGCCGCAGTTCAGTGGAGGCGGCACGGCAAACCCACCTTGATCTCGACAGTGAGCACCTGCTCCTCTGCGATCGACGTCGAGCACAGATCGTCAATCATCCACACCTTGTGCGCCTCGGTGTTGATGCCGTCCTTCTGCCTCCGCTCTCTAGGGCGGTGGATCTCGATCCTGGCGGCCAGCGTCTCGAGCACCGCGCGATCCCGGGCATCCTCGACCTTGATCGGCGTCGAGTGAGGCAGCAGGGCGCCATCTCCGCAGAGGAGAGGCAGCACGACCTCTCTTCGGAATTGCTCGCCCTCCTCCTCTTCTTTTTCCTCGTCGTTTCCGCTCGTCCCGCTCATGTTGCCGTTGGGCTGCGAGTCAGGGGCAGACGACGCGCGGGGGACCTTGACGAGCCTCAACGCCTTGCCCTGCCACCGTCCGCCAGGGCCCTTGCCCTTGGCTGTGCCATTGAACGGCGTGTACCGGAGGAGGAGGTTGAGCCCGCCTTCGGCATGGTAGCTCCAGTCCCTGGCATCTAGTTCGGACAGCTTGAGCGGCGCATCGGTCCCGGCTGCAGACGAGGATGCGGTGGCGCCGGTATAGGGCGTATGGAGATGCGCGGGCTGGACGGAACTCGACAGCGTCGACTTGAACGGCGTGCTGTGCGAGGGCTGGAACGGCGTTGGCGGCATCGTTGAGCAGGCGGCTACGGAGCAGACAAGAGGTCAGCGAGACGTAATTGAGAGAAAAGAGAGAGAGGCGTCGTCGAGTCTGGTCGAGAAGGATGTGAGCGCGCTCGGGCCATCTGCCTGCAGGCTTGTCTGACGGCAGGGACGGCCGCCCACGTCGATTCATTTCCCAAGCAATTTCGCGTGCCTTATGCCTCGCGCTCCTCCGTCGACACCGATCCCCGGCGCTACCTTGACACCTTTCGCCACCGGCGGCTCTAGGCCCACTCGACCCTCCAGATGCCCCACCAGTTGCCGCGCTCCCAGCCGCTGACCTCGCAGATCACCTTGATGCTGGCCAGCTGGCCGTTGCGCCGGTGAACCACGGGCATCGCCTCGCCTGCCGCTTCCACGAGCGCCTCGAGCTCGCCGGATCGGAAAACGTGGTAGTCTGCGCGAGCGAGCGAGCGTGAAGGTCGGAGCAGGACAGGCCTCGCGGGGTCAGCGCCTCGAAGCCGAGAGATACCGAGAGCGAGAGCACGATGCGACTCACATCGTTGGTAGACGGGAGCAGCTCCCGCCACGGCCGGCGCGGCATCCTCGGCCGGCTTGTCGTCCACCTTGAGCGTGGACAGGTCGTCTTCGATGCGCGTCGCGTCGGGCGGCGCCTCTGCTGGCTTGTCTTTCCGACCACCTCTTCTGCTGCCCTTCTCTCCCGTCACACCCTTGCCGTGCTGGGGCTTGTTCTTGGCCTTGGGCTGTGTGAGCACCCACGGCACAAGCAGATCCTGCTCGTCGGCCGCGTCCTTGCTGCTCTTCTCGTACGCCTCTCTCCTCGACAGCGATCCCAGCCCGCTGTCCGAGACGAGTCTCTCCTTGCTCTTGCGTTCCGCCGCTTCCGCCCCTCCCTTTGCGATGCCCTCAAACTGCCGCTTGCCCTCGTCCTTTTGCTCGAGGGCCCACGCGAAGATCATGAATCGTCCCGCGCCTCGTCCGCCATTGAGCCGGATCGATGCCTCGTCCTCGGCCTCGGGTGGAGAGGCGGACGCGGTCGGAGCAGAAGCGACTGGCTGTACAAGTCGGATGAGCTCCTGTACCGCCTTGGCTCTCCGCTCCCACGTCGAGAAGTGGTGGATTGTTGCGATGCTGATGGCATAGTCCTGGTCGTATCGCCCAGGGAGAATGAGAGAGTTCCGGCGGATGAGGGCCCGAAAGGAAGCGGTCAGCGGGATCGCTCCGTCTCGCAAGATGGCAGTACATCGACTCACAAATACTCCGGTCCTCAGACCGCTCATCATCGCGTCGCCGACCGCGACTTCGTGGAGGCGTCGTGGCGGCGAAGGCGCCGCGTCCGTCCTGTCAACATCCTTTCCAACGGCAGCATCTTGGCCAAAGTTGGTCTGCGCGAGGCTGAGCAGGTTCGACGACCGATCCACGCCGATGGTCAGGAGGCTGTTTGGCGAAGAGTCCGCCGCGATGGTGTCTCGAGCCGCCGCAACGTCGGACGACTGTGCGAGCATGGATCGAATGGGGAGGTACTTTCCGTTCCCGCATCCAAGGTCTGCACCAATACTCCCAGCGGGCAACGTCGACATGAAGAGCGGGATCAATGGCCAGGGCTACCGTGCGAGGGCAAGGAGACAAAGGCCCGGGTGACGGAGTCAGCTCCGGAACTATGCTTGCGTTGCAGAGGGATCGGAGGGGTCCGAGAGGCTCACCTTGTACCGTGTGCTCGAGAAGTGAGGCGCGATCGTTTCGTAGACGCTGCTCGGAAGAGCGAGAATAATGGCACGGACAGCGTGGCACGCGGCGACAGGAATCAGTCACAGCAGCGGTCGAAGGAGGCAGTTCGAGGGTATCAGCTTTGTGAGCTTCGATGGCGATTCGATTGCGAGCAAGGGGCTACTACACCGCCGCCGGAACCGTACCTCACCCCTCCTGCCTGCCGCCTCGCCATGCGATGGTCTGCCTACTCACGCGTGCACGTTCTGCTCCTCGTACGCCGAAGGGTCAAAGCCGCCGTCGTTCTTCCCGGCGGACGGCGGTGCTGGGATCTCGGCCTGGACGCCAAGCTGCGCCTGGGCCCACTCCAGGGCCATCACGACGATCCGATCGAGCGCCTCGAGCCCGCTGGCCGCCCCGGCCTGCGACAACTGAGCCGCCAGCTGCTGTGCCGCCGGATCGTCGGCGGCCAGCTTCTTGGTCTGCGCAGGGGGATCTGCGCCGCGCAGCACGGAAGTCACCTCGACTCTCCAGGCGGCATCTGGCGATGAGGGTGCGGCGGGGCTGACAGTCACCTGCATGTCGAGGTGCGATCGGCCAGCTTGCGCTGAACGGTGCGCCGCAACGCCGAAGCCGAGGTCCATCAGCAGGGGCTGTGGCGGCTCAGCGGTCGACGCCGGATCTGCGGTGGCGCTCGCCACAGGGCCTCGCCAGCTGATGACGACTGGGATCTTGGCCGGACCCGAAGGCGGCGCAGCATCGCCCAGGAGCTCGTCGAGGGTCGGCTCGGCAGCAGGAGCCGTCGTGGCGCCCGGGTCGTCCTGGTTGCTGGACAGCGCCGAGTGAGCCAGCTCGGTTGTCCTGACCTCGTCCCGGAGCGTCTCGATGGCCGCAAACAGACGGGCTGCAGTGCTGGCAGCCGATGATGCGCCTTGGTCGACGTCCATCGCATCTGCGCCCGAGGCACCAGCTTCGTTCGAGACAGGCCCGGAGCACATCAAGGGCAGCGCATCGACAATGAGGCCCTGCGACTTGGGGTCGCGCAAGCTGTCGGGTGTGCGCGCCAGGGTGAATGAGCAGCGAGGCAGGTAGTCGCTTGCGGACGGAGCAGTCGGCCGCTGCGCCCACGCCGATGCCAGGACGTCTTCGAACCACACTGCGCCATCCGCTGACGAGGCGGGCTGGGAGTTCGAGCCGCCGAGGGATGAGGCAGCCACCGTCTTTGTACTGCCGGGCAGTCGGCAGATGCTCGCCAGCTTGGCGGCGGTGGCTCGTGTGACGACGACGGGCGGGTCGAGCTGCGCGATGAAGCGGACTGGTACGGTGGACGCGCCCCGCCTGACGCTGCCCAGCTTCGAGGACGGGTCCATGCCGGCCTGGGCCTCTTGGAGCGCGGCCAGCGCCCTGCTGCCCATGGACCACGACGGGCCGGACGATGCGTCGGATGGCGAGGATTCGGCGCCCAAGTCGAGAGCACCGACGCCGAGGCTGAGCCGATAGTCGACCTGGCACACCTCGTCGCGGGCATACACGACCTCGAGGAAGGGGCGGGCCCGGTGGACGGATGCGATTCCGTGGCCACGCTCGAGCAGCCGTCGCTCCGCCGCGGCCTCGGTGCTGCCGGACGCCGAAGCGGCCAGGGCGGCGTCCTGCCTCTCTGCCTCGGCGACTCGATACACCTGCGAGCTGAGCTGCTGCAGAGCATCAAAGACATCGACTTCGGCCGCGGGGCCTGCCTCGTGCACCTGAGCTGCCACCTCGTCAAAGTGCAGCAGAGCCTCGAGGTTGGCACCGAGGCGCACAAAGCAGTCGGCGATGCGAGCGGATGGGCACCTCTGCTGCTGATGCTGCTGTCGCTGCCGCTCCTCATCGACACCGAAGAGCAAGTCGGCCGCAGATTGGACGTCTCTCTGTAGCAGGTCTGCCAGTGCCGGGTCCCTGCTTGGCGAGGCGTGGTCGGCGTCGTTGGCGTATGACAGCTTGAGACGGACGACGGGTCGGAGAGTGGCATCAGTGTCCTGCCGCTGGACGGCGAGCTCGACGTCGATGACGAGGATCTTTGCACCGATTGTGAGGGTATGCACGAGCGTCTCTGCGGGTCGCGTGCTGGACGAGGGCTGGGTCTGCGTCTGCTCTGCACGTTCTGCGAAGGTCTCGAGGCCGAGGGCGCGGGCATGGGCCTCGAGGGCGGTGCACAGGGCATCGAGGGCCTCGGTGGCCTTGTCCGGATGTCCCGAGACGTCCTTTGACGCGGCCAAGGAGCGTAGACGGGCCAAGCTGACGGACATGGCCGACGAGGAGACGCGGTCGTTTGTCCGAGGCGCGGCCACGGGGGAAAAGGAATCGATCGAGTGACGCAGCTCGGCGATGTGCTTGGACGTCTCTGCGAGGAGCGAGACGTAGCGTCTCACCGCGTTGGAGGTCGCCGAAGCTTCGAGAGAGGGAGGCTGCAGCAGCTGCGATGGCTGAGAGGGCATCTGCTGGGCTGAGGACTGCTGGGAGAAAGCAGGGCTGGTCTGGGCAAAGTTGGCGGCGGCCTGACGGATCTGGGCGACGAGAGAGTGGAACTGCTGGCGCGAGAGACTTGTGTCCGGAGACGAAACGGGTGCAGAGGATGGCGGTGCATCCGCGCGAACTGCGTCGCTGGTTGAGGCTGCTTGGTCGCCGCCGTGACTGCGGGAGTCTGCCGCCGCGCCGTAGAGGCTGTGGACTGATGAGCTGAGGAGATGTAGTCGGCTCGGCCCGGCCGACTTCGCCGCGAGGGCGGCATGGGCCGAATGGGCAGCGGCGAAGGCGGTGTCGGCACCAGCTGCAGAGGCAGCAGAATTAGTAGAAGCAGCGGCGGCGGTCTGGTCGGTCCCTTCCGTAGCCTGTCCGGCAGTGGCAGAGGGAAGAGCATCCGCAGAGACGGGCAGGTGCGGCTCTCCCGATGCTGTGCCACCTCCATTGGCGCTGCCTGTTGGCGGCGGCGGCGGCGGCACGGATGCCGAAGATGCCGGTATCGGAGCCTTGTTGGATGTGTCCATGCTGCGCGGGCGCGAGGTGGGGGCCAGGCCAGGAGGGGATGAACGATGGTGGTGCTGGCGAGAGCCCCAAGCAAAGGCATGAAGATGGCCAGGGCCAGTTCCAGGCACGGCGTTGGAAGGTCTGCCGGCCTCGATGTTCTCTCCACATTTTCCCTCGGAGCCGGGGCCGGGCTGGGCCATACGCGGGCGGGCCAACCAGGCAGCCAGGCCAGCCAGGCCAGACAGGCCAGACAGGCCAGACAGGCTCGACAGAGGGCTGCACCGTGCGTTGGGGCTGGCAGCCCACCTGCGAGAGCGGTCCACGGCAGGCCAAACATTAAGGCTAGGGATCTCCAGCCACCTTGCCTCTCGCCGTCTTGCACCAACGTAACGCACCCCTCTGGCCCCTGCTGAGTGTATTCTGCTACCACCACCACCACCACCACCACCACCACCACCACCACCGAAGACGACGACCACGACTACGACGACGACGACAAGGATCGCGGCAGCACGGCTCCTGCTCGGCCACCTGCCGCCATATACCCCGCCCCCGTTCCGGCTTGCTTCAGCGGCATCGCGTGCTGCCTTCGGCCCGTCCTGCCACGCCTCGCCCCGCAGAGTCGATTGTACGCACGTCTCGCTGTCGTCGGCGACCTTCCTTCTTCACCCATGATCCAAGAATCGCTCCTTTGAAGCCCACCTCCGGCCGCCACGCAGCAACATCGCAACCTTACGGCCTCGTCTGAACCCGCCCGACCGAGACCTGGGGCCGCCTCATCGCCCCGACACCTCTCGGTCTCATCCCCGCCGCGGCCTCTGCTGGCCACTGCTGCGCCGCCGTCGCAATGTCGGCCGTCGAATACACAGCACCATGTGGGTCACGCTGACGGCAACCCGGCCGCCCCGCCGTTTCTCGCTGACTCCAGGTTCCTCTCTCCCTCTTGTATCCCCGCTCATGCCGTGCTCCCACTCTGCAGGGCCCGTCTTCGCGCTGGCATGGTCCAACCACCCGTCTTCGTCTAGCGCCGGCGGTTCATCTTCCTCGCTCTCCGCCTACAACCACCCACGCAACTCGTCGTCATCGTCGCGCTACGTACCGCCATCACCTTCCCCGCTCGCAAGAGGCCAAGACGACTACCCATACGGCCACACCGCGTCGCCCCCGGTCCCGGATTCGGCCCGTCTCGCCGTCGGGTCCTTTGTCGAGCAGTACACCAACCGGATCCAGATCCTCGGCTTCTCGTCCGACGATCCAGGGTCGCTCCAGCTGCTCGCCGATGCCTCCCATCCTTACCCGCCGACCAAGCTCGGCTTCCAGCCTTCCACCTTGGCCGACCCATCGTCGCATTCGCGCGGCCCTTCGTCGGAGCGCGAGCGGAGCGATCGTGCCTACGCCTCGCCGACGACAAAGATGGCCAAGCGCGGATCGTGGGGCGCAAAGGTGCGCAGCTCGAGCGGTGCAGACGACGGCGGCCAGTCGGGCTCGATCGACAACTATCCGGATCGCGAGCTGCTGGCCAGCACTGCCGACTGCCTGCGGATATGGGAGGTCCACCGCAACGAAGGCGGAGGGCACGGAGGCGACGACTCCTACCGCAGCGGATACGTCGGCCAGTCCGACCCGGGGCAGAAGCTCCGGTTCGGCCTTCGGGAGAAGAGCGTGCTCGCGCATGTGAGTGGACGTGGTAGCGGGCAACGCCGGCTGACGCTGCGCCGGCGATCGTCGTGGCGCCGCCGCTGACCTTGACCGCCCGCCTTGCGCCCCCTGCGCCGCCTCGTCCGCCCTGCAGTCGAAGAACACGACCTCGCCCCCGGCTCCGCTCACGTCGTTCTCCTGGAACACGCCATCGCCCAACCTGATCGTCACGTCTTCGATCGACACCACGTGTACCATCTGGGACCTGCCGACGCGGACGGCGCTGACGCAGCTCATCGCCCACGACCGCGAGGTCTACGACGTCGACTGGTGCCCTGGCTCGGCCGACGTCTTCGCCTCGGTCGGTGCCGACGGCAGCGTGCGCGTCTTTGACCTGCGCAGCCTCGAGCACTCGACCATCATCTACGAGACGGGCACCGTCCCGGGCCCGACCGAGTCGCGGCCAGGCACGTCCCTCAGCACCACGAGCAGCCGGGCGCCATCGACGCGCGGCGGCGTGCCGGCGACGCCGCTGCTGCGGATTGCCTTCAACCCTTGGGACGCCAATTACCTGGCCACCTTCCACCTCGAGAGCGACAGCGTGCAGATCCTCGACGTGCGGGCGCCGGGCTCGCCGATCCTCGAGCTGCGCGGCCACTCGGCCTCGGTCAACGCCATCGCCTGGGGCCCACCGAGCAGCGGGCACGGATCGCTCGGCCCGTCCAAGGGCATGGTGTGCTCGGCGGCCGACGATGCACAGGTGCTCGTCTACGACCTGGCATCGACCACGCTGCGCACCGCCTCGGCCCAGGGGCGGCGGTCGCGCAACGGCCACGCCGCGAGCCCAGCCGCGGGCGCGTCGATGGCCTACAGCGGCAGCTCCATGGCCGGCAGCCCGGGCCCGGGCTCGATGGCTGGCTCCATCGGCGTGGGCGCCGAGATCCCCTTTCTGGCGTACACGACGCCGACGCACGACATGGTCAACAACGTGGCCTGGCTCCGGGCCGGCGGCGGTGGCGGCAGCGGCGGTGGTGCGTCGTCGGCGGCGAGCGGTGGGCAGAGGAGCGTGGTGCAGGAGTGGAACGAGTTCACCGCGTCGTCGCAGCAGCAGCAGCAGTGGAACGGCCACGCGCCGCCCGAGAGCGACTGGATCGCCATGGCCGCCGGCAACTCGGTGCGCGCGCTCAAGGTCTAGGCGAGGGGAGCGGAGGCCGACGTGGGGTGCTGGTGCCGGAATGACGGAGGAGCGGGAGGGAGGCAGGGCCAGGGGCAGCTTTCTGTTCGTCTCCTGTCAGGATGCAAAGGACGAGAGCAGGGCAGGGCAAGGGAGGACGTCGATGCATCTAGAAAACCAGGAATATATACTCACTTGCCCTGCCTTCGTCGTCGACCATCGCTCGTCGTCCGAGTGGGGACTCGATCGAATGGCAAAAGGGAGGACCAGCGCCCTGGCGATGACAGCAGCAACGTCAACGACGGAAGAGAGGGGAGGGCGGTAACGGTGGAAAGAGGGCATGTCTGCTCGCGTCGGTGCGTTCCAGCATCTTCCCTCGGCATCCTTCAAAAAGGCGACGCTCGACTACTTCGACTCCTTCGCGTCTCCTCCTCCTCCTTCCTTCTTGTCCTCCGTCTTGGCGGAAGCGCCTCCAAAGGCGATTTTGCTGCCAAACGAGAACGCTCCAGGCTGCGAGACGCCGGACGTATTGGCGAACGACGAGCCAAACGGCGTGCTACCCGCCGCACCGCCTCCTGCTCCCGCTCCCGCTGTTCCAAAGGGCGAACCGAAAGCCGAGGTGGTAGAGGACGACGACGGCGTGGATCCGAAGCTGAACCCCGTCGTGGTCGCCGGCTTGGGTGGCGACGACGACGACGACGAGGAACCGGGCGAAGCTGCGGATCCGAATGTGAATCGGTGCGGAGATCCGCCAATCGATGGCGATGCAAAGGCCGGCGTCGTCGACGTCGTGGCGCCGCTGCTGCTGCTGCTGCTGCCGACCTGCTCCTTGTCCGTCTTGCTGTCGCCCGCCGACTTTGTGGCCTCGGATGCAGGTGCCGATGCAGCAGCTGATGTTGCGGGTGCGGACGACGTCGAGGTAGGGGCGGCGGCGGCCGGCTTGACGCCTGCGAACTCAAACCCGCCCTTTGGAATGTCAAACTTGGGGCCGGATGCGGCGCTGCCGTTGCTCGAGGACGACGAGGGCGGGGCAGCGTCGGATACGGGCTTGCCTCCGAACGTGAACCCGCCTGCCGGGAGCGAGAACTTTGGAGGCGCAGACGCGTCCTTTGTGGTGCCCTTGTCGGCTTCCTGCTTCGCTGGGGTCAAGGGAGCCTCAGTTTGTGCCGGCTTCGGTGTCGCTGCTGCCGTGGCGGTGGGTGCCGGAGCTGGGGCCGAGACCGGCGTAAAGGAAAACGCCGGCGGCTTGGGCTTCGGCTCGTCGGCCTTTGCGGCTGCGTCCGAGCCGGGCTTCGAAGAAGCTCCATTGACGGCAGAAGAAGCGCCGTTCTGCGCACCCGCCTTGCCCTCGATCTCCGCGCGGTGCTTGACGTACTGGCGCTCTGCGTCGCGAAGAGCCTGCGTCAGGTCGCAGAACGGATCCTCCTTGAGGCGCGTGTCAAGCTGTGCGAGCAGCGCGTCCTTGAGCGACACGTTGAGCCCGCGCAGGGACGAAAAGCGCTCCTTCTGCGACGCAGAGACGCTCGACCCCGAGGCCGTCCCTGCTGCGGAGGAAGCGGCGGTGGACGAGGCCGGTGTGGATGTGGACGCGACGATGCCAGAGAGGAAGCTGGACGTCGACGACGGCGGCTTGATCGGCGTGGTAGAAAAGGACGGCGCAGGCGCGGAACTGGTCGTCGAGGCAGCGGACGGGCTCGCCGTGCTGGCGCTGCCGCCGCCGCCGCCGCCGCCGAATGCAAAGGTCGGCGTGGCGCTCTTGGCCGGCGTCGTTGTGGCGGTGTTGGCCTTGCCGAAGCCGCCAAACGAGGCGAAGGGGTTTGCCTGCATTGACATCGAGGATCAAGAGCAGAGCGTGTTGGGCTCTGGTCTGTCAGTATACCAGCGTAACTGCGGACACAGAGAGTAAAGGGAGCCGAGGCCAGGCCACGTACCGGCTTGCTGGCGTCGTCCGACTTTGGTGCCGGCGTCCCGAACGAGAATGCCGGCGAAGGAGGGGCTGGCGTTGCTGGAGAAGCGGCACCAAAGCTAAAGCCAGGGCTGGCCGGCGAGCCCACCGCAGGGGAGCCCGCAATACGCCGTTTCGGGAGGCCTCGGATTCTTCGAGTGGCGACGGGGAGGCAGGAGCGAGTCAGCTCGTGAGATGAAATGCGACCGGCCGAGGAGCAGAGGCAGGCGCAAGACTCACTGTCGACCCTCGGATGCTGGCGACTGGATCGGATTCAAGAAGCGGCGGTCACGCAAGAGGGCATCGCACAAGTCAGCGGCGAAGCCCCGCAGCGTGGAAAGCCCTCTGATCGACTCACGGGAACCACGGGGGTGCCGTGCTGCATCTCGTCCTGTCCCTCGTCGTCGTCGTCGTCGCCGTCCTCGCGGCGCATCTGCTTGGCGGCTTGTCTCTTCATCGTGCGGTTCGCTCGGTTGCTGGGCGGGCGGCGATGTGGTGGAGTGAGGGTCAATGTGGTGGTGGTGCGCAGTCAAGGCACACACAAGGGCGCTGCAGAGTGTGGAGGGAGCGATCGCAAGGCTGAGAAGACGCGAATGACGGCGGACCCCAATTCAAAAAAACCCGCCGGCGGACAGGGCAAAATCGGGAACAGGGCCCGATGGTACAAGGCTCGAGGCGGCCTTGCGGAGTGCCCCTCCTTCTCCATGCCTGCAAGCTGCAGCAGCCATGGTTATGCCATACTCTTACGCTTCACCATATGCGTGAGCATTCTACAAGTAACATAGGTCAATCTACTAAGAAAAACAAGACAAGGTCAAACAGTGTAACAAGACAGAAAAGCTGAGGCCAAATTCAAGAAGCCAAGATCCAGTCACGGCAAAAGCCCCTCTATGCAACATATTGCCCTCTCTTACCACATCTACCAGCCTGAGGATCAGGACTAGCAGATGAGCAAGGTTGCAGGGCTCTTCTCTGGGCAGATGTGGGGGTTTGTGGGGCAAAGTGCTGAAAACGCTTGAAAATGGTGGGAAATCGACATTTTGCCCACACAAACTGCCTTCCAGCGCTCTGATCAGGCTGCTGCAAGCATCTTTGCAAGCCTGAGCATCTTGTCTAGCAGATGAGCAGCACCATCCCTGGTGTTCCAATATCCTCTCCTGGTCCCTTGTGCCCCATTGTGCCCGGACCTTGTCTGCATCCTCTTGCGTGAAGATGGTGTGACGACCTATGAAGTTGAATACAAGCCTGCTTCCACCATGGTCCAATCCCAGATCAACACGAGCAATGAATACCTCCTGCGCAACGCGATGTGGGTTCAGTTCCAGCAGAACGCGCTGACTTCCCCGCAAATTGTCGTACAACACAACGGCATCTCTCAGCTCGTGGCTCAACTTGTGGCTGGTGAACCCCCCTGCGACAAGCCCAAAAGGAACGTGGTTGGCCATAAAGACTGTGTGACGACCAACAACACCGTCAACAAAGTCCACTGGGTCAGCTCGGCGTTTAATCACTTCAATCGCCTGTACAACACTCCGATCAGCGGCTACCAAGGTGTCATCCAGACCTTGCCTAGGCACTACCAAGTCTATTTCCAGCAGCAGAACCAGGGGCACTTTCGGGACGCACAGGTGGCAGCAGCGCACTTTAACCGCCTTGCCAGGGTGGAGTACTCCAACATGCTAGATGGAGTCCCTGGGTTCCTTAATGACGTCCTCAACATCAATGTTGCCAGCACTCCACTTAATCAACAAGTTGCAAGGCTTGAGCAGCCCAGCATGCCCAGCCACATCACCCACAATCAGGAGGGAGTGGTGTACTTCTCCATCTTTGTCTGCAGGTGACTGCAGCTGCAATCAAGGCATAGGCTCGGTCAAAGGACAATGACAAGCCAGATGTGTTCTGTGTCCAATGTCAGCACTGATCAGCAAGGAGGCAGGTCAACATAGATCAGGCAACATTGCCAGTGGCCATGGTAACAGTCCAAGAGGTCTGGTACAGCTGACCAGGTCAGTGACAGTTTCACATCACAATCTGGATCCATGGAGGGGTCATGTACTGAGTCACACAGCTTCACTGCTACTGGTGCAGGACCCTGCTGCAGGCACTCTTCCATACTCAGCCCGAAGGAGGGGCTGATGTCTCATGACAGCATCAGCAAGGGTGATGGAGGCCTGCTTGAGCTGCAGTGCATCCCACTTGTCTTGTGCCATCAAGGACAATACAGCCTGCAAGAATGCCACAAGTACTGTGGTGAAAGCTCTAGGGTATGGCCATCTGCTCTCCTCTTGTGCACACTGACACTTCAGATCAACGGTTCTAGCATCAGCGCCTTCAATGTGGCGATAGGGCTGATGTCAAGACGTTGCATCAGTGCGCCCGAGCTCTAGAACGAGGTCCGAGACCCGGCTCAAGGGGCAAGACGGTCGGGCAGCGGATCCGCACTTGTCTTTTCCCGTTCTCGTACGTTTGATCTCCCCATCGGCGCGCAACCGCGTGCGGTTCCCCTCCGCCCACCATGATCGTCTTCTACCTCGCGCCTTCCCTCAAGCTGCTATAGCTCTTCGCTCCCTCACGCAGATACCCGCTGTGCGCGCTACCTCCTGACCTCGCTATCGCATTCGAAGCCCGACCGACCGCTTGGGAAGATCACGGCGCCGCCTTCCCGCCTCGATGTGGCGTCGGTCGAGGTTCGGTGGTTGGACGGGGCGACCGACAAAGGCGGGTCCTGGCTTGCGACGGCGCCGCTGCACGGGGAGGCCAGGCCAGGGCAGGCCTCTCCTTTGTTCGTGCGGGTGAACTCTGGGACGGTTCGGTGGCGTGGGTTCGACCGGGGCCGACATCGAAACGGCGACGGACGGACAAGGAGCGCCTTCTTATGCGAACGGAAGCCGCGACCAACGAATCATCGACCGTGACGGCGGCTCACTCGATTCAATCGGCGACGTCAAGGATCCCGCGGGTCGAACTCGACGTTGCGCCTGTCTAAGACCCCTACCGTACCGTTGCCAGTGACAGCCGGTCATCTCGGCGGCCGCCTCGTTTGGGTGTGAAGGAGAAGAGGCAGAGATGACCGACCGGCGAAGGCGGGCACTGAAATCGCTGCTTTAGCCGAAGCCCATCGTGGCAGCATCAGGGTGGGGGGCCCCGCCTTTTGTTCCGAACACGACCAACGCACAACTGCCCCGCCCTCGACGACGCCCTCGACGGCCGCCCGGTGCAAGTTCGGTCTTTGCCACACGAGCACTTCAACGCAGTCTGCCCGTGTCGCCGGCGGCCCCACCTGTGGGCAATCGCGGCATGACGAGAGCAAATTGGCCCGGATCTCCTCTCCGCCCTCGTGTCTGTGAACGTCGAGCCTCGTTGCGATAAGGCCGGAAGTGCCTCTCGGGTCGTCAATGCCAAGTCGGTGGCAAGGTGCTGTCAAGCCACGGCACCATCGGGTTTGGACCAAAGAGCGATGGTCTCGTGTCTCGCTGCCCCGCAGCAGGGCGCACTTACGCGGTTGCGCCTCCCAGCCGCAGCGGTTCCAAGCCTCGACAGTGGGCAGGCAGCCAGGCTGACCGGCAGGGGCACCGGCCTGTACGGTACACGTAACTACAACTGTACCTCGATGAGCAGCACGCACCGTGCTCCTGCCGCTCAATGTAGGGTGTGGTTCGCATCGCGACAACGAGGCCGAGCGAGCAAGGCAGATCTGGGTCTCGCCTGGTCGCTCTTGCCCCAAAGATCAGGTCCAAAGATCCGCCGCACCGTACGTCCTGTCTCCGGCTTCGGTGGCTTCGTCAAATTCCCAACAAGCTTCCTTCCGCCTCCGTCGTACCATCGCCGTCGCAGATTCGGGACGGCATCGATACGGTTGTCGACGTCGATTCGATGGAAGACCCGCCGTGGCATTACTGACCGAGCGCCGAAGAAGCAAGGGACGGGACGAGGGAAGAAGGCGAATCCTCCGGCGAGCTTGACCGACCGCACCTCCGCCACCCCCGTCGTTTGACCGGGCGGGCGCAGCGGAGACAAAGGTCCACGCGCGAGCCTGCGCGAATCATGCAACGGGCCGGGTAGGAAAGGTGGGCCTGTAGGCTGGCGAGCGCGGGGCCTGCGAGCAGCATCGCACCCCCTTCGTCAAGAAAGCTAAGCAAGCAAGGCCGCTGCCGTGCCGTGCTGCCTTTCGCAGAGTCTTGCAACGGAAGGGAATCGAGCAAGGTGCGGAGACACCCAGACACGCCCTAGTGGGGCTGCCCTGACCCAGCCTGTGCTGCCGCATCGTCGCCTTACCCCACACAACTGCCGTCCCCGCAACTTTGCTGCTGCTGCTGCTGCTGCCCCGCGCCGCGACCTCAATTAGCGCGCCTCGCTACGCCGCGACCCTCTCTAGCCCTCTTGTCCATGGGGCTTGGCTCTGCCTTTGCCCGTCTAGGCCGCGACCACGTCGACGCTACGGTATGCCGTGAACGATCTGGCCATGTGTCCTTCTCGAGGCACTATTCCCGGTCTGGGGCTGCGTTGGGGAGCAGCAACAGAGCAACAGGGCAACGCAGCTGCAGCTGGCCCCGCTGGCCTCGCCCGTGGAGCACCCGCCTTCATACGTACCCTCCTTCGTGGCAGAAGCCATATAAGAACTTCAGCTGGCTGGTGGCAATCATTCGCCCATCCCTCGTCCCTCCCTCCGCCCCTTGTATCTCTGGCACCCTTCGCTTCTTTCTCCTTGCACGCGTCTTGCGCGCTCACTTCCTCCTCTAAGCCCAGCCTTTGATCGGCCTTTCGGCCATCGCCGTCGCCCCCTCACCCGCTTCCAACCGCTTTCCAGCACCGCCACCATGGGCCTCCTCCGCAAGAAGGAGCAAGGCACCGCCGTCGACCGCGCCGTCACTGGTGCCGAGTTGAGCCGATTCCACTTCGTCTTTGCCTTCACGCTCGTCTCGTCCCTCTTCTTCGTCTGGGGCCTCTCGTATGGTCTGCTCGACTCGCTCAACAAGGCCTTCCAGGTCTCGCTCAACCTGACCAGGGCCGAGTCGACCGGTCTCCAGGCAGGTGCGTTCTCGTTTCTGGCCCGTCCGGTGCTGCCGCGTGGCTGAGTCGCGTCTCGCTGATGCTGACTGCCATTATCCACCTTGCCTCCGCACCCGCACTTCGCACTCTTCATACTCGCACCTTCGACTCCAACAGCCTACTTCGGCAGTTACCTCATCAATGGCTTCGTCTCGGGCTCGGCGATGCGCAAGTACGGCTACAAGAACGGAATCCACTTTGGCCTGGCGCTCTTCTCGATCGGCGCCGTCCTCTTCTGGCCGTGCGCCATCTACAAGAGCTTCCCGGGCTTCATCGTCTGCACGTTCGTCACCGCCAGTGGTCTCGCTTGGCTCGAGGTGGCTGCCAACAGTTATATTACGGTCATCGGTGCACCCAACATGGCCGCTTTTCGGTGAGTGACGCCGCGACGCGATCCCGTCCTCGAACGCGTCCCAGGCCGTCCCTCCCCCTCCTCAGAACCTAGCTCATCATCCCTCTATCATCGTCGACCATCTTCTTCCCCATCAAAGACTTGTTTTCGCTCAATCCTTTAACGGAGTGGCTACTGTGATTGGTCCCATCATTGCGTCGCACACGTTTTTGAAGACGGACGCAAAGGACCTCAACCACATCCAATGGGTCTACCTCGGAATCGCGCTTTTCGGCTGCCTGATCAACTTCCTGTTCCTGGTCTGCCCGCTGCCCGAGGTCAAGCAGGAGGTCAACGAGGCCATCGAGTCCAAGGTCAAGGGCGGCCTGTTCAAGCAGTACCACCTCATCGCGGGCGCGGTCACCGAGTTCATGTACGTCGGCGCCCAGGTCGCCGTCGCGTCGCTGGCCATCAACTACTTTACGGAACAGCCGGACATTTCTATCTCGACGTCGGCGGCTGCCAACCTCTACGCTGGATGCCAGGCCGCCTTCACCCTTGGCCGCTTCCTGCTGGTCCCGGTGCTCTTCTACGTCGACTCGGGCCTGATCCTGGGCCTCTTTGGCGTCATGTGCGTCGTCTTTTCGTGCCTGACGGCCGGCCTCTCCTCGTACGGCGGCATCGTCTCGCTCTTCTGCCTTTTCTGTGAGTTTCGAGGGCCGTTATGTCGGGTTCAGGTCTTCCAGTCATCGACGAACGCGCGGCTGACCATCATCACCATCTCCGTCCGACCCTTGTTGCGCAGTCTTTGAGGGCGTCTGCTACCCAATCATCTTCACGCTGGCGACGAGCAACCTTGGCTCTTACCAGAAGATTGGCTCGGCGCTGGTCGCGGCGGGAGTGTCTGGTGGTGCCGCCTGGCCCTCGGTGCAGGCCGTCGTGGCCGACAACACGAGCACGCCCAACTCGTACCACATCCCCATCATTGGCTTCGCCATCGTGGCCATGTACGGCTTCGGCATGAACATGCATGCATCCAAGCAGCTGGGTCGCTGGGCGTGGAGGAAGCCGGCCAACGAGGAGATCAAGAACGTCATTGCCGCCGTGCCCGACTCCAACCACTACGGCGACGCCGAGCACGCGCGTCACGGCTACGGCGACGAGGTCGACGGCGACAAGGGCTCGCACGACGGCAAGGGCGGCTACCCGGTCGTCAGCTACACTTCGTAGGCGGCCGTGCTCCGCCTCGCTGTTCTCTTCCCTGCTCCATGTCCTTCCCGTCATCTCCTGCGACGATTACGATTTTATCTGGGCGGTCCTCGCTCGCCCCGCCTGTCACGTTAGCTTCTCGACTCAGTGTTTCCGGTGATATCCTGCAACGACTTGTACACTATCCGACCGTCGTGTGCCGCTCGAGTGTGTGGTGCCTGGTCATTCAACGCCAGGCTGTGCGTCGTCGTCGCTTGTCTGGCGGTGGCTGCGCGTTTTTTGCCGGAGCCTCTCGGCGACGTCTCGCTCAGTATTGGCGAACATTGCGCCAGCACAAAGCGTTCACCCTCGCCATTGCCTGCTGGACGGAGTCGAAGCACCTTCTCGGCGTGAAGAGCAACGATCGACGGCAATCGAGAGCTGCGCACACCATGCTGTGCCACGCCGCCCGCGCTACACGACGCGCGGGCTTGGGCACACGACACGCCCGGCCTGCCTGCACCGCTCCGCTGGAAGACGAAAATGCGGGGTTGCCTAGCCCTGCATGCGTCGGACCGCGGGCCAGCAGGCAGAGAGGCAGGCAGGCAGGCCGGTTGAAGCAGTTCTACGCACGCGGCCAGCGCGGCGCGGCGCGGCGCGGCCAATTTCGGTTCTTCGGCGGGCGGAAAATTTGAGCTCGCGACGGCGGGCCAGGCGAGGCGCGGCCAGCAGGCATGGAGGCAGGGAAGCAGCGAAGCAGGGCGGGCCGTTGCCGGCGTTCCTTCCATCCACCACCACCACTGAACCCATCTCTTCTCGCCGCTCCGCTCCACGTCCACGTCCACCGCAAACGCACGCACACACCTGCTCCTTTTCTCACGTTCCATCGCATCGCACCACATCCTCTCGCTCGCCCTCTCTTGACCGCTCCCCTCACTACCCGCACACACGCGCAACACAGCATACACGCAGCCCACCCTCGCAACCACGCTTCCCACTCCCGCTACACCACCCCCAGTCCACGATCTCGAGATGCTGGCCACCCCGACTTCGTCCTTCTTCCACTACGGCACCTCTGCTAGCGCCACCGGTGGCGGCGGAAAGAGGAAGCGCCTCAGCGCCTGCGGCTTCGAGTCCAGCTTTGCCCCCTCGTCGCCCTCGTCGCCCTCCGGCTTCGAGGCCATGGGAAAGCGTGTCAGGACGGCCGCGCCCGCCACTTCTTTGCTTGACGCCAGGGTAGGCGAGGAAAATATCCCCTTCTCGGCCGCCTTCCGCTCCAGCGGCGCCATCACCAACAGCCCCTCCAGGCCCCCCACCGTCGAAGAGCAGCAGGCCTGGTCTTCCAGCAGCTCGATCCGCCTCGAGCACGCGCTCGCCCCCCCACCCTCCTCGTCCCACATGTCGCTCTCGTCGCTGGCTAAGGCCAAGCAGCGCCAGATTGAGCTCGAGGTCGATGACGACGACATGATGATGATGATGCCCGCCGCGCCCTCCACGTCCGCCTCTGCCACTGCTGGCACCGCGGCCGCTGCCGCAGAGGTGCGCAAGAGCAACTGGGTCCGCGTCGTCACCTCGTACGGCCACAGCTTTGTCCGCGCCGACGAGGTCGAGGCGCTCATGAGCGAGGGCGAGGTCCACTGCATCTCGTCCGACGACGGCACCTCGAGCCACGCCGCATCCCCCAGCGCCGGCGATGCGGCCGAGTCGAGGCTGTGGGACTCGATCGAGGGCGACGTCGAGATGGACGGCTAGGCGGTGTTCTCCGGGTCCATGCATCCGCAGCAGCGACCGATGCCTGCTCAGTTCTGGGGTCGAGGGTGGCGCCGAAGCTACTCCAGCCCAGCCCCGAGCCTCGCCGAGGGCGGCGGCCTGACTCTGGCCCTCGTAGGCGAACACTGGCGCCACAACGTCCCTTTTCTCTTTGCTCAAAAGCCTTGCAGACGAGAGTCAGCCTCTTTGGCTGATGTCCCGCACCAGACTCTGCCAGTCGGTCGCCAGACAACCGCAAAAAAAAGAACATCGCGACCAATCGCGACCCTCGACCCAATCGAGCCCGACAGCCCCACCGACTCGACTTGACCTGGCCTGACCCGTTTCTCTCTCGCTTCCAGCCCGGCAGCCCGGCAAGCCTCGACCAGCAAGCACCGGCCAGCGTGTACTCTCTTGACTCTCCGTCCTCGTCCTCGGCCTTGTCCTCGCGCCTCCGCTCCTGCTCTCTCTAGCCCTTGCTCCATCTGACTCGATCCGACGCTGCCAAAACGGCACGGCTCCCGTGCGGCGGCCTCGACTTCGAGCCTTGAGTCACCTTGTATTTCTACCGTTCCCGCCAATGCTGCTGCTACTGCAGCGTCTTCGACAGCAGGGCCCAGCCTAGTCCACTGCGACCTAATCGATGCGTCTTCTTGTCGCTCCCACGTCGATTCGACTCGACTCGACTCGACTCGACCCGATCCGACTGCAACGACGGCGGTTGATGGCACGCACGCTTAGCCCGGAGGGAGGGCGCCGGCGTCGATGTCTGCGATCTCCTCCTCGAACAGCTCGTCGTTGCCCGACCAGGACGAGGTGATGGGTGATCTTGGCAGGACCATGGTGCCTGTCGGGGCGCAGACAGGGGTTTCAGGCAGGCAGGCAGGCGGAGAAGACGTCTCGAAAGGTGAGTAATCGGGAAGGCTCGACGGCATCGGCGCAGCAGCGACCGCACGCAGCACTCACCGGAACGAGCGCACTCGAGGACGCCAAAGGGACGGACGAGCTTGAGGAAGGCGTCGCAGCGGGAGCTCTTGCCGCTCACCTCGACAATGACGCTCGAGGAGCTGACGTCGACGACCCTGCCGCGGAACTGCTCGGCGAGGGCAATGACGCTGCGCATATTGTCGCTCTTGACCCGGAGGGCCTCGGTGGGCGTGAGGGGCAGGGCGCCGCCGTGCTGCTGCTGCTGCTGGCCCTTGCCGGCCTCGCGCTCGACGAGGAGCTCGGGCGGGACGGGACCGATCTGGGACTCTTCAAAGTACTCTGGGCCGAGGATGGACACCTTGACGAGCATGAGTTCGCGCTCGATGACCTTGGTGTTGGTGTAGTCGAGGACGGCCCAGACGGGGACGAGGTCCTCGAGCTGGCGGCGGGCCTGCTCCACGACGCCGTCCTGGCCGCGCAGCACGATGCACATGCGCGACAGGTCCTTGATCTCGGTGCCGCACACGACGAGCGAGTCGATGTTGAAGCCGCGCCCGGCCAGCGTGCCCGCCACGCGCGACAGCACGCCGGGCTCGTTTTGCACCAGCGTGTTGAGGATGTGCCGCTTAAACGGCTGGCGCGACGGGGGAGGCGTGTTGTACAGGATGTTGGACACGGCCTCGCCCGCATCCAGCGACGGCGGCTCGAGCGAGGGCAGCGGAGGAAGCTTGCGCAGGCGGTGCGCCAGCTTGTAGTCGAGCGCCGACGTGCTGTCGCTCTCGCCGCCGCGGTCGGAGCGCACGGGCGCCGTCGTCGAGAGCGAGCGCAGCATCGCCGTCGTCCTCGTCGCCGTCGTCGTCGCTGTGGTGGTGACCGACGACGTCGAGGCGATAGCCGCCAGCGCCAGCCGGCGAGACGCCATGGGCGCAATGGTCGAAATCATCCCGAGCGAAGCCAAGCTGGGTGGCAGGCGATGCGATGCGGTGCGGT